AATTATCTTTTAATTCCTGACTTATAAGTACCAAACTAAAATCTTGTCAACTTAAATTATTCTAAGCAGTACTTGCAAGGTGTACGGCTTGCTCTAATTTATTTCTCTTCTCAAATAAAACCGTACACTGAACAAGACTCGCACCTCAATTTTTAAAATTATTATACCGGTATTCATGATACCCTATCCCCGAGTAAGACACGCACCCACTTTTTGTGCACTGCAATATTTCAAAGAATCAGGACACCAGAATTCAAATTGTAAAATTAATTTTGAGCTGCTATGATTTTTATAAAATCCTTGTCAAAAAGTTCCCCTTATATTCAGAAGTGATTTACACCGGAACTTGAAAAAAAAAACGGTATCCCGACCTCGTCAAAAGGCATTTTGACGAGCACCTCAATTTTGAGAAAAGAAATCGTGTGTGCGGTACTCGAGTGAATACGGTTATTTGGAAGAATTGTTCAGGATACAGCAATAACAAGCCTTGAATGAATTTCTCGACAACATAAGAAATTGCAGTTTTTGGCAATTGACGAGAACATTTTTATCCCATTTCCATCAACTTAAATTTAAAGACGACTAAAATAATCTATGGGAATGTTAAGGAGTATCTAAACTCCTTTACGTTATTGACCCCTTGATTGCTGAGTATCACCAACAACACAAGACTTGAAAATGATTGAGAGACTTTTCAACCAACTCTCTAATAAATGAGTATTCAGACAACTGAAATTTTCAAACAGGATTTTTGAGGGGTCTAAACAGATCTCTGACTCCAGATAGAGAAATGTGGTCGTCAACTGAACTTCTGGGGGAAAAGGCAAGGATTCATATACTGCTGCAATATAGAGTTCAAGTATTGAGGCAAGTAGGCTCTTTAATCTAATACTGCTGAATTGAGACCACAACTTTCGCAACCGAGTTGCAGTGAGATGAATCTGAACAAGGACTGGTTTTGGGGGTTTAGACTGACCTTGAGGAAATTTCAGGACTAGAATCAAGTCGGTTTGTTTCATATAAAAGATTAGCTTTAATCAAAGACAGGTTTCTTGAAACAAGGTTTCAAGCAACAGGTTTTCCTAGCTGGTTTATAATTTAGGTATGCGAAGCTTTACAGAACAAAGCTCATCACAATCAGGCTTTCCACAGGGAAAAGGCATAGACTTTGCACCACAGAATGGAAAAAGGCATAGACTTTGCACCAATGCGACAGGATTTGAACGGAAAAAATTCCTTTCGTAACGAAGTAGTTGAGAAAAATAAAAACTCACGCAACATGATCATCTCCAAACCAGACCCCAACACCAGCGTTCTTCAACCGGCCCATACAGGATCCGTCCGCGTAACATACGGCATATCCATCATCGGTAAAATCGAACACCCCATTTTCCGCCGAACGACCCCCGCGCAGAATTCTAGGAGGAATCCAAGGCTGCTTACATGCCCCCGGAAAAGGATACCTCCTGTATGGCGGACGACTCCTACCGCGGACAGGATCCTGGTTTTGCATAAAGCTATAGTCATCATCTAACATTCTAATCCATTGTCATCCACGATTCATGCGAAAACTAAGCTCGAACAGTGTACTGTAATGTGTTATATGATTCTGAAGAGCAAATCCAGGACAGTTTATGTCCATAAAAAAAAATTTCGCGAGCATTCCAGGAATGTCAGGTGAAAACCTTTCGCGAAATGTTGACATTAAGTGGTCATTACGGGGAAATGATCGGAAAAAATAGTGGTTCTTGCATTCGCTTCCTCGTAATTTTTTTCTCACAAACCCTGCACAGGGCGATGAAATGGGATTGATATTGCATAAAAATGACAGAGATCTGTTCAAGACCTCAAAAGCTTGCTGAAAAAAAATAACCTCACACAGGTACACGTATGTATTACCTATCCTTAGACTGTACCGACAGGAAAGTACCTTGAAAAAAAGTGCATATCAAGTTTTGCGATCCAACACGTGTTTTCTTTTTTGTTCTTCTCATTATGCAACGGGAAATTGAGTTGGCTTTAATTGTAAGCGACTTGCCGTGGCAGAGACCATCCCATCATCGTAGGTGGGATAGACAATCGCTTCGGAACCGCCTGGGGACATTTCAGCATTCGAAGTAAGCTTTTGTCGCATACTTTTCTTCTACTACGTCGTTTCCTCTAGTGTGAAGCACTTCGCGCGAAACTACGTCATTTCGGCTTCCGATTCACGACGAGAATTTGGCATCTCAGCAGATATGAGTAATCCTCTTCTCATTACGATAAACACAGAAATAAAATACAGTACAGAACTTACCGGTTCATAGAAAATCGCTTCCGCGTCCTCTAGTGTGAAGCACTTCACATAATGCGCCCCAACGAACCCAGCGATTTCCTCCTGACAATCTTCCCTACATGCAGAATGCGTCAAAAAATTAGGCATACTTCTTTTCTTTCAATTCTCAAGATGCCATACACACCAACAATAATAAATCCCAGGATTATGACCACGAATCACAGCGTAAAAATGGTCGAACATATTCTTAGCTGGCGGACAACGTAAGCTTTCACAAAACCTGAAAAAATATTCGGAAAATCATGAAGAATAAAGGATGCAGGAAATGGAAAAAAATTCTGTACACAACAGTAGAAATATTTTTTCATTTCGACCACGGTCTAAAAGCCTTTTCCAGCAATACAACGATCACATTTCTTTTGAGATTCCTGCTTTCCTTGAATTGAAGCCCCGCACAACATATTTGCAATTAAAAATATTCGGGAAAAAGTCGTAAAATATGATGATTAGTTTTTAAGGGAGTAAGTTGAAGGACATTTACCGCGGACATCATTCTGGTACTGTATCTCTAAAAAAAATACCAGGAAATTTTTAGGAAAACTTCGAATCACTAAAATAAAAAAATACATCTACGAATGCGAAGCCATAAGGTTCAAGAACAGAACCTTCATCTTTTAGCATATAGAATATCTGTTAGCTGGAACTAGTAAAATACACTGTCATTTACCTCATAAAATGCCTGGAACTCATGGGCTGATAAGCGTGAACCAGTTTTTAGAGAACGGATCTTCTTAACGCTAGCTCAACAAACTGTATCCACCAACTGATAGGCTCCTTAAATTTATAAAAATAATCCTCAGTACAATACAGTAATCACCAAGCAATTTTTAAAAAAATTTAGAGGTAAAAGCAGACTGAATTCTAAATTAAATTCTCATTACGCTATCAGCTAATTAGAGGAACATCAGATGAGTCGACGAGATCATTTAAATCGGTGCACATGGGATAACCAAAAGAAAGTATATAAGCGGACCGAAGGCACCATCGCACATCGACGCCAAATTCTCAATTTTCAATAAAAAAAAAAAAGGTGCCATCATAACTCGCGTAGATAAGGTAAAACTACCAATTGGTAGATTGAAATTGCATGTTCGATTAATCAAGTAGCTTTGAAGTCGTTCACAGTGAATAGAAAAAAAAGATTCTCCCTTCCAGAAAACGTTTGGTTTGATCATAAAAAGTTATACAACCCGCAAAATGCGGTTCTTCCCATTAACCGCTTCTCAGCTCCCATCGGCAACTGTGGCAAAGGTTTCCAATCAACCTTCGGACACCGTCCTTTCGGATACCCGAAAAACTGCACGGGATGATTTAACCTGTTCCTCGGACACCTCAGCTTTTCCGGTGGTTTCGATTTCGCGCCCACGAAATTCACGGTGACGAACCAACTCCTCCGTTCACAGCGCTCAAACCACTGTCCGGGTTCGCAAATGAATTTGGTTCTCCACGTGGCGAATGCGCTCTTGTAGCGGGTCATTCGGGGTTCCTCAGGTACTTTTCTTCTTCTCGGACGCACGATTTCTTTGGCATAAGATTCTTGGGGAATGAGGAGTGGGAGAAGCAAGTGAAGCATCCCGTCACCAAAAGTTCCGTAGAAAAAGTCGTAGAAGGAGGATAAGAGGTCGGCAGGTCGAGTGAATTCTACGGACTCAAGAGAGTACTTGTGGACACCCGGACCGATGTAAAGGTCGTCCAATGCTTCCGGTAATAAATGTTTGTACACAGAATACAAACAAAGCTGCAATACATGGAAAAAAAAATTCTTTGAATACAAAAAACTTTCTCCGTAGAGTCCCTAACCGTTTCAACTTATTGTCACCCTTTTTTCTACTTTTTAGGTAATTTTTTATTCGTCGCCTTTGTTCGATAATTTTCACCTCCAAGAAAGCAATTTCACTCATATTGGCTACCGCAAATTACGCCGGCCTTCCATACACAGTACAGTACATGTAAAAATGAAATCACTAACCTTCAGCTCGCCAACAGCATCGGCAAAGGCGCAGGAAATATCAGGACTCTCTGAATACAGAGACGGAAACATCGATAATATGTGGTCCATGTGGTCAATGGCAGTTCGGGCAATGTCCTTCAGGACATAGGTCGGAGACAAAGTGGTGTAGACTCCGAGGACCCGAGAAATGCCGCGATGATTCTCCGTCGGCAAATCGAAGTAATTCTGCAGTTTTGCATGAACCATTGATTCTCGAACACTGGCCCCGTTGCACGTGGCGTGCATGAGGGTTGAGAGGACTCGCAAGCACTTGGAACGCAAGTGAATGTCCTCAACTGAATCTGGCGGATTGTGCGGTTGCATCAGAAGCTCGAGAATTGGGCAAACGATGGCTTCTCCCTACAAGAGTTAAGAATCGAACGACTGATGATTGGTCATCTGATGAATCTGTCTTTCTGTTGATTGTAATATGTAGGTTAAAAAAAAAAAATATATATATCGCTGTACACAAACCGCGCACAGAGCTACCATGAAATATAGCATTAAAAAGTGATGATCAGTTCCTGTAGGATAAAAATCCAAATAAGAAATACAATTTCCAATCCTGACGATTTGTTCTCAAATTCAGAATATATCAAAGTAAAGGCATAGAAATACTAGGTGTCACGGACGTCAAACATTCGAACGGAATGCTAAGTCTGAAGTGAGGATTCAACAAGCAAATACGTTAGAAATACATCACTTGGACCTGAGATCATCAAAATTACGTTGACGTGCTGGAGGATTAAAAAAAACAACCAGCCGAAAAAACCCAGGCCAACGCGCGACACAGTGAGTGGGCCGAAAATGACACAAGAACATAGGTAGAGAAATGCTTCCGAATATTTCCCCAAGTACCCAGTCAACTTAAAATCTGTGTAATAAGAAAATGTAGAAAAACATTTATAGATTATTTCAAGAGAACACTCACGCATCCAAAAAGCTCGAGGTTGGAGTTCGGATTCAAGGCAAGGGCTTCGGCAAAAGACAGAAGTTTCCACAACATCGCGTTGTCTTGAGAAAATTCCTGTAGGGCGTCTTCAAGGAAACCCGCGTAAGCAGTTACGAGCACTCCCATGTTATCCAATGTCTTCAGTGCTCCCAAAATTTCTTGGAACACTCGCATATTCTGAGGACAAATCAAAAGGAACTCAATACGGTACTAGAAGGCATGAACCCCTGAGCGCTGCTCTTCAATCATTCGTCATTGGGTTCTCCCATTCTTCATCTCATAATGACTTCAAGCTTCTATCATGACAGTACAAGTTGAGCAAAAGATTTCGGACATGTTCTCTCGTTCACGTGTTCGTCAGTCTCGATTTATACTGATGAATTATTTGAGCATTGAAAATAAAAGCTAGCTTGTATCCACAGAAAGTATGCAGTACTCACTTCCACATCTGTCAACTCGGCTGACAATACAACAGAAATTGCCGTCTGATACATTTCCAGAAGTTCATCACCCAAATTCATCTCACGGTTCTCCACCAACGGAGGTTTTTGATCCAATTGCTGAACTTTTATCGGCGAACTTCGGAAATCTGATTCTGGTGACCCGTGATCCAACCAGCGTGCTGTGGAAAGGATTCTTTATACTGCAGTATCACCGGTTATCAAATTCTTTCTGTCTTAATAATATGGAAAAGGAATCACAGGTCAACTCGGAGTTGGAGTACTGTAATTTAAAAAGTTATCGTAAAAATATTTTCGACGTTCAATTTTCAAGATACAGTACTAACTTTGTACATGACTGGGTCCGTGGAAGAAAAAGGGAGTCTTGTCAAACGCAAGGTCAACCAACTTCACAAAACTGTCTTCTGTGAAATAGAAACCCCCTTGCTCGACATGTTTGAAGACAGGAGTGTCTTTCGAAGAATGCCCAAGAATTGAGGGAAAATGCTTCAGCTTCAATGTTCGGTTTATGTCATCCACAGTCAATTTCTTGCGATTTGCACTCCTCATAAAAATCTTGCTGGTCTAAAAAAAAATCACAGTAGGCACAACATATAGCATAAGATATGGTAGGTTTTCACCCATGACTCGCAGTGATTAAACTAACTACATGACTCATTTCTGAGATTTAATCTAAGGATAGAATCACACTTCGAATCTGAGTGGTTCGTACCAGGGAAAAAATGATAGAAAAATATTTATTACAGTGAAATTTTCAACGAGATTCTTTGCGATGGATCTCGTCAAAATGAATACAACTTACGTTTCGAACGATTTACTTTTCCAGGTCTCTCCAGTACAGAAATGACGTTAATTAAGCTCATTCTTACGCATTTGTTTGACTTTGAACAGGGGATTTTCACGATCCCAGAATAAATTTTACAGTATCTTAAAATGTGAATTGAACTGATCTCCGGCTAACATTAAGAATAATGCTCCCGATTTATGGCGAAAAATAAGCGCACTCGAACTAAAATTCTGCGGCCATTTTACCGAACAAGAAAAAAGTCTCAAGCTAATGTTCCCTTCTATAAAATTTCGTCAAATCGTAATACAAAAATTACCTTATTCTCCAGGCACAAATCCTCGAAACATGGGCACAATTATAAAAAAAAAACATATCCAAGGGTCATAATAAAATGTGACAATACGCTGGACGTGAAATCTCAGACTCACGTAGATTAGATCACGAATACGGTAACTGAGGTCCCCAGCGATCAATCCGTACGCTTTTTCATCCACATCATACCCGGCACTTCCACATATTAGTTGAATAGTTTTCTCGCGAATCATCGCAAATTTTCGCTCCTCACTCTTCGAATTAGTCGAAGAATGCATCTTTCGCTCTCTGGAAGGAAATATATATTTAAACGTAAAGCACTCAGCGAATCAAAATAATGAAAACGCGGAAAAATCGCGAGTTTCATGAGATTTGTATCGAAGTATCGTCGCAGTGTAGGAAAATTTCCCAAATGCCAAAGCGAATCGATTCGCGTAAGAATTCATCCAGAAAATACTGTACGATGTTTCCACCTATAACCCAACTCGTTGCGATTGAAGCGCCAAACGCGTAACGGATCTGCAAAATATAAGAAGCTCAATGTCGCCTCAGTTTTTTTTCAGCACCCTAGGCCCACGAACAACGGGCACCGCAAAAATATATTTACTGAGTACTCTCGACCGCCTTTTTCGCCGCGTCGTCCAAATCATGCGCCATCACAATAGTCATCTCAGATTCAGCCAATATTCTCCGCGCTTCGTCAACATTAGTTCCTTCTAGTCGAACAACTAAAGGGACGGAAAGTCCGATTGTTTTCGACGCTTTCACAATGCCCTTAGCGATTGTGGCGCAGTTGACGATACCAGCGAATACATTAACCAGAATGGCTTCGACACGAGAGTCGGAAGTGAGGAGACGGAATGCCTCGTACACCTGATCTTCCTGGACAGAGCCTCCAACGTCGAGAAAGTTGGCGGGATTGCCGCCGTGGAGCTTGACGATGTCCATTGTGGCCATGGCTAATCCGGCGCCGTTCACAAGGCAACCAATGTTTCCATCCATTCCTGTGTTCAGGATCCAGAATCAAGACGATTTATCATGGTTCGAGGTTGTATGATTTTTGATCACAAGCATACTGAATTACAAGAATTCGTCGAAAACATACTACAGTATTAATCAAAAATTTCGGCCAGTGGATAAAAAAGCAAGCAATTTTGCATTCCCTTTTAAATTCGGGACGCGGAATACGAAACATTATTAGTTTCAAGGGTGTATTGGTAATTGGTAAATAATCCATCAACTTCAAAACTTCCCTCAAATCCACGATTCCAAGGATACAATTATAAAATCACGGGAAGAGTTTTCACGACAGGAAAAGAGTCCCATTTCCATTAATTTTCGACTGCTCGAAAATTGCATCTGCTCGTTCGGTAAGGTTCTGCAACCATGGAATTCAGATAAGTTCGATTTTGACCAATTCACACACGCGACTCTAGCATAATTGAAAGTACCTTTGATAGTGGGAGTCATTAGGTCACCCAGGACGAAGATTCACAGTGCCTCCTTCCAACATTTTCCGCCCCTTTCGATAATGCCAAACTCACTCATAATTAACTTCAGACTAAAATGAACACCTAACTGACACAACATTTACCGAGAAAAATCTAGCTCCGAACGACTTCAACAGAAGACAGACAATTCTCCGCTCAGATCGATGTTTCGAATTTCTTCCCTAATACCTGAAGCAGCAGTAGGGTAGTTCAAATCACTTTGAAGAATTAACTACATCTTCACATTTTTTTTCTAGGTTTCCGCAAGCCAGCATGAAGTACACCCACGAATTGTCGCGCGAGACATGCGAAAATAGCCCTCTCGGACTTCACCGACAGCATCTTCATGCACCCGCACCATTCAACCAAACCGTTCAAGATGGCGTCGCGAAGGCGGCGTATCCTGAGTCAGAATCCTCCCGGCCTATGATTGGCCGGGAGGTTCTCCTCCAGGAGCCTGCCCCAGGAACAGGCGCGAACTTGCGCTGTTGACGTGGCGCGAACATTTTCTAATTTTGACATGTTCCCGACTGGGAATTCAGAAAAATGTGATCATACTTTTGAATATTCCGATAAAAAAAATGTTCTCATGCAGCACTTGATTTGCTAGATTTTTCCATGCGGTGCAGGTAGTACAGCTGAACAAAAAAATGAAGAAATATCACAAGGCCTCGTGATTTTTGAGTCGGAGGAAAATTAAGCTGAACGTGGCGCGTTGTAAAATGGCGGGCTTAAATTCTAAGCTGATGACCCAGCTGTGCTGGGAAAGAGACGCAGGAAAAAGTGAAACGTCGGCCGAGATTTGATGCAGTTAATTTGGTTTTTCGTATTGGATAATTTGAATTACAATAAAAATTTTATCACACAACTAGGGTGAAACAATACAACAAAATGCTTACTAACCTATGTAATTCAACTTGAACGCCTCGGCTTGCACTTCTCTAGGATCCTTCTCCTCAGCGTCCTCCAGTGAGAAAATTTCACGCTGTCTGAACTCCGCATTGTCGTCGAAGTTTATCTTAGCATCCACAGCAACTACTCTCCCATCCTTTGTTTCAGCCAGGGGATTAATTTCCACTTGCGTCGCATCCACAGCAGTGAACAAATTCCACAGTGCCTGAAGCTCCCGCACGGCCGCAGGAGCGCGCGAAGATTCGAATTGTAAAAATTTCACGACTTCTGACGCAATTGTTTCGCTCAATGGACCATTTAGTGGCACTGGGAATGTCTTGATCAGATGCGGCGTTTTTTCAGCTACTCCTTCTATGTCCATTCCTCCAGCTGGGGACGCAATAATGATCGGTCCATCTCTGGATCTACGGAACCAATAAATCATCTTCGAACTACAGTACTAGACTCTCGAAAACTGTTCCTGAAACATGCAGAAGTTTACCGAAATTAAGAGGCCTTCATTTAAAAATGAATTTTAGTTGGAGTCGGGATACTTCCGCGAAGAATTCAAATGCAACACAGGTCATTTGAAATTTCCAGAATACGAGAAATAGACTGAAGCTTAACGAACCTCAACGAATTTGCACTCATTTCACGAATATAAATTCCTTGACAATATCTCCTGGAAAAACACTAATACTGAGAGATATACGGAAGGAACAAATATAAATAATAAATAAGTTTAAATGTATACCGTGTCCCTAGATACGCGAGCCGACTTCTATAGTGGTTATAATTATTCCTCTGGAAAACCATTTTCAATACCGATCGTATGCAAAAGATGGAACAAACCTGTCCAACAAAATGCAGACGTAAACTTCTCTTGTGATGTCCACCGATTCGGCAACCATGACTTTCGTCACAGGAATGCCATCTTTCGGCGTCTGTTTCGTGATCAATTTATGGCCCAACATCTCGTTCACCAATCCGGGTACCTCCTCGGGCTTCTTCGTCAAATGCACCCCACCTTCGGATGAATTAAAAGTATAGGATTCCAACGACGCATGTCATAAGGTCGAATTAATGTAGAGATAAAATAGGAATCTCAAGATTCCCAACACTTGCGATTTAAAATATTGGGCACCAACTCTAAGGCGGAAGTGAATTCTGATACAGTAGTACAGTTTTACATAGGTTTTCATGGGGGACAGATAAAAGGAGCGAGGAAAATTTTAAACCAAAATATTTCAGCTAGAAAACACTGCGTTGAAGTTTCTCACGCCTGACGTGCTGAAAAAAAATTCCCGCCGGAAGTTACTGTCAGACTTCTTTACTCAGGGGTGGAATTGTAACACGGAATACAGAAGACACAGTTGTTCACAGGGGGACGCAACTGTCACGAAGGGGAATTTCTGCGGAATTGACGGCCGAGTTCCGGTGGTTCGGTTGTTTCCTTCGTAATTATTCATAGAAAGTGGTAGGAGTGTGTTCCAAGTTTGCAAATGAATATTTTCACGAAGTAGCGATTCAACACGCGTAAAGGAGACTTTTCCTCAGGGTTACTTACAAAAACCGGAAATTTCTAAATTTCTTGATAAAATGAGAAACTCTAATTAGTTCCAGTGATTTCTGTCGAGGGGATCATATGAGCATTAGTTTCAAAACTCTCACATTCCTTCCCACGACAGAAAATGTATCTTGAACTTATTTTTTAACGTATTCGCTACACCGTTTTGGCCGCGTTCCGGCATGTCTTCCTCTTAAGCTTTCGGACAAGCATGAATTCGTAATTTTCTCTATGAACAGTTGATCTGCTTACATATTCAAAACCTCTAGTAACTTGAAAGATGAGGGCATAGACAGAAATGTTGCAGAAGACAAAATAAACTGCACCTTTGAATCCAGTATCGAAGACACCTTTGCCTCGTCCACCAGCCAATATCTGAGCTTTTATCACATACTCGTCAGCCCTGAACTCGCGCGAAATCTGTTCCGCATCTTTCGGTGAACCCGCAGTACGGAACTTTTGGACGGAAACCCCGTGCTGAGCGAGCAAATCTTTGCTTTGGTACTCCAATAGGCTAAGTCGTCGTAGAGTTTGTTGCAGCACCGCGCAGCTCGCACGCGGCGAGTTCACAGCCTTTCGTAAACTAGCCAACATAGTTTATCCAAGTGATAAATTCCGGAAGACCACCTGATTTGTAGAGAGGAAAGAATATCCTTCAAACCTCATAAATTCAAGATCTTTTCGCCAAAAAACAGAGGAAAGGATGCCGTCCTCACAGTGACAAAATTCGCAACATTTTTTTACATCTGCGGTCACATGGATCAAGAATAACTAGGATTGACCGTCGTTTATCGCATGCTAAAAAACGAACGAAAATTTTTTAAAGGCAGGATGGACCAAATATTTCTTTTTTTTTTTAATGCGGTAAGAGTGGACCGAATGGTTTCGCATTCGAAAGCAGCAGAAGTTCAAATTCGGCATAGAAGTGCAATACTTTTGCTATGCAATGCATCGGCAAGTTTCTGTAGAATTGCGGATGCATCTTTTTCAAAATAACAATGGCACACAAAATTATGCATCAAATTTATATTGAAACATTCAATTCAACTGTTGTCCAAGTCTCAGTCCAAATGTTTGCTTTCATTGAATTTTTATATTTCTGTTCATCATTGTCTGATCTAGAATTACCAAAAATTGAACATGCACGGTCAAGCGAACCTCAAGATAACGTTCGAACATCTGTAGTTTCCTCAGCTAAACAAACCAGAATATATAGTGAAAATACATTCGAGAAGCGAAAATATCGCACTGTGAGGACAACAAACTCAACGAAGAATCTGAAATTTATAACAATAATATCCTGTATCACACCCTGCATTCTTTGAAACGAATAAATCCGTCAACACTGAAACAACCACAAAATGATGGAAACCAATCAAGAACAGGTCTGTAACCCAACTAGCATTGGAGTAACGTTACCCAATGCTAGTTGAAAAAAAAAAAAAGCCTCCAGAGATGTCAACCTTACTTCGCACCTTTAGAAAGATGGTCCAGATTAATGAATCGGTATTATCCCAAGAGGGTAGTACAGTAGCAGGACCTAATTTCGCGACAGATACACCGTCACTCCGCAGATTTCCAAAAGAAAACACGATCCTTTCTAAAAAAAAAAAGCATTTTCCAATAAAAGCAATATAGAAGGAAATGTAACTCAATTATCACTCAGTGCTTGGCTTGAGCTCTCGAATAGCTCTCAACGAACTCAACAAAGCCGCAGCAGTTTCAGCATCTCTCCCACCTTTTTCACCCAACCAACCCAGAACACTCCTCACGATTTTCTCAGTCGCTTCAATATTAGCACCTCCACTAAACCATTCATCGGGTTCTGCCAATCCCTTGATCCAACGCGACAAAGCCGGAGTCAACTCTGCATTCACCTCAGCCGATTTCGCCATTGCTTTCACTCGTTTCCCAGCAATGCTGAGCAATGCCACAGCCAACACGTTCTTCGACACGACACCGACACTGACCTTTTCTCCGATAACGTCATAACCGCGGGAGTATAATTCGCTAACAAGAAACTGCTTCAAGTCGTCCGCATCACCCCAGCCATCGTTCATGACCACAGTTTCCAAGCTCAGATGAATCCAAAGCTCGATGTTCTCGTTGTACTCAGACTCCAAGCGGGAGAAATTTGAACCGGGTACGACATCTGACAGAGTGCGAATCGCTTCCTGGATCAAACGCTTGAGGAAATCCTTCCGCGCTTTCGCTAGTACGGTGTCGGATTCTTCCATGAACGTGATCACCAATGGTGTAGTCAATGCAGCGAACATGGACTTTTTAGCGGTTTGACTGAAAAGCGAAAGCGGTTTGAGTCCTTTGATGCCGAATTTGAGCGCTGATTCCAGGATGAAGCACAGGAGAAAATGCTGGTTGACAACAGCGGTGTCCGCTGGAGGTTCCGACATGACCAACTTGCCCAGGTTTCCCGAATTTCTCCACCTGATGACCCATTGTTCGAAGAAGTTAATTTATGTTCAACCTTAGGATTGAGTTTTCGACTGAACCGAATTTTGAAGGCTATTAGAAAGCAGAAGTACTGTACGGTTCAAGTATGGAAGAAATGAAAAATGAGATGAAACTGACCTTTCTTCGTTGTCAGCCAGTCGTTCCTCGTTTGTCGAAATTCGAGTCAGCAGCAAATACAAAAATTTGCGGACATTTTCGAGAAATTCGTCGATTTCTGAAGTTTCCATCGAAATTTCCCGCTTGAGAACCCGGTCTCTCGGCATTCTGCAACCCGTTCGCTCAAGCAGCGACGCGACTCCCGTGAAAACTTGGCAAACGAAAAGCGACCATACGAAAGTTTGAATCCGAGTGCAGAGAACGGAGTTCTGCATGGCTTCGAAGCACGTCAGTGACCGTGATAAAAATTCGGAGTTTGCTGTTTCTGACCATCTGAGAACCCATTCGTAACCACAGTTCATTAGGATCAAGTCCGAGTCCAGGATTTGACCGAATCTTTCGCGAACTTCAAAAAAGATGGCATGCAATCCTTCTTCCGTAGCCGCGGGGGCCTCAGCTGTAAATACAGAAAGCTCATTACAACATGGTTCAAGAGTATTTCAATAAGTAATTGAACATGTTTCGAAACAGCGAACAAGTCAAAATCAATTGCAGTTTTCACACCAGGTCATTAAATTCCTCCTGTTTCTTGACATATAATTTTGAAATTTTACGATCACCTTCATTGCAATTTAGCGTGTGTTGACAGTGAGGTTTGATCAGAGAAGCAGACTTCCCGCACGTAATTTTTTATTCACACAAAACTAAGTTAGTTGAAAGCAAAAGATTTCTTCACCTTCGTCCAGCTCGGGAATCAGTCCAATTTCTCGCATCTTGCCAACGCTGAGTTTCAAACTGATGGACCACCGGCTGATTATTTCGCAAACGGAAGCCTCACTACCACTCAAAAATTTCTCCAAAGTAACGAATTTCTCGACATTGGAACCCTTCACCAGCACCGCAACAGCTGAAAGATTCGCCAACTGTCCACACATCAGTGTCCACCCAATCTCCTCTTCGGTGACATCTTCCCAAGAATTATCTTCAGTTTCCGTACCCAAATCGATCTCTTCCATATCACCATCTGATTTCGAAGACTTCTTCGGACGCACAGCTAACAGTTTACGACACAACAACGCCAACAGATACGGTGCAACAGGAGTCGAAGACTTGAGAATACTCGCATGCACTTTTCTCAAAACCTCTATCGCTTCTTTGTCGCTAATCGACGAGATAAGATTTTCGAGAAGCCTCGAGAACTTCTGCAAATTCACAGATACAGTCTCTTCATCTGTCAGGAAATCTGAGGCCAACAGATGCGAAGCTGCAAACGGGAGAAAATTCACGAGACTCAAACAATGCCAGGAAGTGTTTTCATTGAATCTGTCGACACAACCCTGGAAGAGGGTGTCTCCAAATGGCAGACTTTTTGTCGCGTCATCTACGTTCTGTATCTCCAGGTCATCATTTGTTAGGGAAAAGTGACGAGAGAACTGTGGCAACGAAATCAGCGGCTTTTCTTCCACGTCTTCGGAAAAGGTAACATTTTTCCCGGGAACCTTGACTTCTTTCCGGCACCAGGATATCAGTTTCCGAATGAACTCTGCTTCGTCTTGGTTTAATCCCAATGTTTCTCGCCATTCTTGGTTGTCGCACAACTCCAGCCTCTTCGGGATTTTTACGGAAGAGAATAGTTTAGTGACACAGGAGTACTTTTTGCAGACCGCGAGGAGAGACTGTGCTTCGGGATTCATCTGTTCCTTCGACTTCAGCTCTCCCATTTCTATGACCGCGTCTAGAATCTTGGCAAATTCTTCATACGCGTGTTCAGGAGCATTAGTCCATAATGCCTGGCTTCTTTTCATAGCTTCTTCGGAATGGGTTCCCATGACGTAAGTTAGTCCGGTTTCCAGGAGTTCCTCGGTGGATATTGTTCCGAGGAGAGCAAGAATTTCCATGATATCTCCGCTTCGTTTCATCTTTTTCGAAGATACGCCCATCAGTCGACGGATTTTGCTCAAGACTGACAAATCCTCGGCTTTCTTCTTATTCTTCTCGCAGTCGATGAGATAAAGCGGGACGACAAGGGAATGAAGATGCCCTTCGCCGGTTAAAAATAGGATTTGTAACGGCGAATCCCTGGAATGAGCTGAACCAGCTTCGTTCAGGCCCAACATTCTCAGTCCGGAACAGTCGAAAAGTCGGGCAGCTTTCGGGACATTGAAAGCTGCTACTCGGGGTCCGTGTTGGGTTGCCCAAACTTCGAGGATCCCGCGACGAGGAGCGTAAATTGCTAGGAAACAAGCGTATCGGTGGGTTGAGGAACTGTGGGACTCCGTCCACGCGATTTCTGCGTCCCGGTAACCCTTCCACATGCGAACTGCGAGGCCCGAACGGGCGTCAATTACGGTGATGCGTCCGTGGTTGTCCACAATCGCAGCATGGGTTTTGCGGGGGTTCAAGGTGACTTTCAATCCTTCTCTGAAATTATGCAGAAACTTAGGAATACGTATCATCGTTGAGAGTTCTAGTAAAAGGAAAATTCAAACAACAAGCGCGAATCTCAATTTGTAGCATTCCCCCACGTCGGTATACCCTTCCATTATTACTGTCGATAACGTGACTCCAAAGCTAGTACAGCATAAGAATCATAACTTGCTTCTCAACTGACTTACCGGGTATACGTATTGATGACATTCAGACAGAAATTTCTGTAACATATATAAAAATTAAATTTTAAATTGAAGATCATTATGCAAACGTTAAGCATGCTCGAAGCTTATTCTAGGTATAGTATATCAACCTTTACCTTCGAAACGAAGTTCTTCTCAAGTATAATTTTATATATGAATGATGGATACTCCTACGAAACACTGATTCACGAAGTACCAAGATAACACCCAATGCAAATCCGTTACATCCATTCCATTAAAAAAAAAATTCTGTTGCAATTTTTATGTTCATCGATACGAAGAACGTCCGAAGGCCCCATTTAATTGCACAAAAAATCTAGCGAAAAAAACATTTCATAGAGTAGAATCCTTAGATCATTCATCTTTTTAAATTAGTATTTTGATGAACGATTGGCTAAGGCTGGCCAGATTCAGTCCACCTGTTTTCCATTGAATGAATTCTACGGGTAATCTTTACATTTAGTGAACTTAGTCAACCTTTTTATATCACAAAATATAACTGAAAACGGAACTGTTTGTGCACTTCAGAAGTGTAGTGTGTCCAAAATTTACCTGGCGAAGTAACTTGATTACGCTTTTCCAACTTTGTTGATAAATACAAATTTGTGTATCGTAGATACATCTTTTTCAGCATTCCAATAGTACTTGATTTTTAGATTGAGCAAAAACTAGGTTCATTTGCTTAGGAATTATTTCTGTGCTGATAAATTGAATTAAGAGTTTCCTGAGACGGTTATATAAAATACCGTTATGAGACCTTACTCCAAGCAATTCCAAGAAGAAAAAAAAAACATCTCGAAGCCATTGATAACACGAATGTAAAAACTGAATTCCCTTTTTCAATAAAAGATTCAAAACAACACAATTAGATACCGTAATATGATTTTCACGGTCAATTAACTCGTTGACACGTTAAACCCTTCTAAAACCTCCGCCGCGACGAGACGATTTCATTCTTGTTGAAAACGGACGAAAAAATCACCTATTTTTGTCAGGGATGCCGAATCGCAGAGGAAGCGAGTCTCCTGGTTTTTTCGAAGCTTTCTCGGTACTATGACTTTCTCCAAATCCACTCATCGAAAACAGCGCCGATTTGAGCTTTGATGCAACCGCCCTGGCTGCATCCATCAACTGCAACTGACTCTCCACAGCATAATACATGCCCGCGAACGGTTTCACTCCCACACCAACAAAACTCGTCATTACGGGACTCTTCAAAGACACCGAGGCACCAAATCCACCAATCAAACTCGCCGTTTTCAGCTGGTCAAACAAATTTGATTGCGTCGCACCAACTGGACCATCACAGTCACGTAACTGGGCTTGAGGATCTACGGAATACTTCTTGAAGTCAACGGGTCTCTCGTTCACCCAGGGCTCTGATTTGTTCGCATTAGCCTTGTGCAATGCAAGACCTGATCTAGCGGACTGGATATTATGGAACAGATTGAAGCTCTCTATGAACACCACGGCAGAAGGATAGAGAACTACGACTTCATCCGCAACCGGACCACTGTGGTCACCGGAAAACCTTGCTTGTTTGTAACTCCTGCACTTGATGTTGATAATCTCTTCCTCGTGGAACCTCTCGCTCAAGAGTACAGTTCCATCATCGATTATAATTTTGAAATCTCCGTTCGAGAATCCAAGAAAAAGGCAAGTCCAGTCCGGTCGACCCAAAGAACTTTTCCTATGGGATGCAACAGGAACACACAACACAGCACTGACGTTTGCTTCGAAATAATCATTTCGATATATTGGGTCCAACGGATATGAACCCTGTGACTTGCTTTGGCAGGATGCGTGAATCACGATTTTCCTTTTTGCCGCAAATGCTGCGTAATCACCTTTGAGAAAAGAATTGAGATTCTTTTCATGGAGTTGAACTTCTCCCTTCTCTAGAAATGCAATTTGGTTCATCTTTCGACGGTTGAATATGCCGAGTTAGGATGTCTTGGGCTTATTGTATGCATACATACAGCATAAAAATCCAGTGTCTGAATAAGCTAGTGAGGCTTAGCCAAAATAAAGCTCATAATTCTCGTGAATTGTAGGAACAGTATTCATGTAAAACGAGGACACGCCTCTTTTGATGTACATGAAAGAGGTTTTGGTTTGTGGCTTTGAATACGTAGTACTTTTTTGAATAATCATCAATTTTTACAGTGAAAAAATCATCGCGATACGTAATATAAATAATGTCCACCACGATAAACCGTATACTGTACTAAGGAAGCATGGAATCAGCAAAGCTTGCAGCAACCCTTCTGTTCATGAATCTTACCCCATGAACTTTAAATAATTGAATCTCTCAAAAGTGCTGCAATGACGAACTACATTACTCGAACCAATCACGAAGCTGTAGTTTACAGCGCATTGAACTGGTATAGGAAGCCTCCAATCGATTTGTAAATTCTTGAAGACATGGGAGCAATTTTGGGAATACACCTGGACTTGCGGGGGACCAAAAGTTGAGAAATGAAACCGAGATGATTTTCTCGCATCAGAAACTGGATTCAGACAAGAGATGTGAAGTATTACCGTATGGAGATACAGAAGCCAGAACACCATTCGGCCATTGGATGTAGGTGTCAACAGGAACGTCGTCGTAATCGTCAGAAAATCGGGATTTCGACGCGTTCACTTGCAGAGTTTCAGCGAACGCAGATGGTCCTATTAAGAACTCAAATGTTTCATCCAATGCACGAACGTGACGCACAGCGGTCAAATTACACGCCATAGTGCTTTCACAATGTTAGCTTCATCTGGAAAACAAGCAGAGGATACAGTTCTAGGCGAAATACTACATTTATTCACATCACTGGATATCGGAGTGGAATTTCTATATGTTGGAGTGAAAAATAGTGCGTCAATCATGAAATGCATCGAAATACTGCAGGGTTTACCGGAAAATACGACCTACTAATGGAATAATAAGATCTCGTAAAGACATCTTCCATCAAACGCTCCACACAACAAGAAAGTTTAATTCAATAAATGTGTACAGTATTTTGTTTTGATCGGTGGGCGAAACTAACTTGAAAATGTAACTTAATACAGTACACTCGAGATTGAAACGAGAACTTTAAAAGAAATTTTAGACAGAAAAGTGAGCAGGTTTTCAGTTGAACTCGTCTTCGTTAAATGTTTAAAATGTCTCAACGGAAACACCAAGAAATTTAGCTTAACCAATTTCATTCAACGCGCGATTAAAAAATACCCGTCTTTTCTACAGGGGAAACACGGTACAACATCCTAGGTTTTCAAATACATAAATCAGAGAACAGGGCAGAGTAAAAAAAACCCACGAGGTGTGTACTTCCCACTTTAACGACAAAATTTAGCAAAAAGCACACATCACTTGCATTCAATGAGCTGCATTCAAAAATCGAGACGACAGCACAAAGGCCTCTAGTCACTTTTCCGAAGGAAAAAATCAAGCGAACGAATGCATCAAAAACGAGACTTTCGCGTCTCGTGATAATTTGCAGGCACCAGCGAAAAAAAAGCATTTCATTTTCATATTATTATGACTCGAACGCCAACATGCCAACTAGAATCCTTCATGGCCGGGAATTTCCCTCAACTTCCGAGTCCCATGAGATACAACGGACCATTCGATGCGCGAATGCAAGTGAAGTCGATACCGCCGTGACTACATCATGTTCATCAGTTTCCTTCTTTACCCGCGAATTCAAAACTCGCGATTCACTCACTGCGAGATAAATCATCATCTCAATTATTCCATCAGCTCGAGTTTAAGAAAAGGAAACATTCTCTATCCGGGATTTCTTAGCCGAAAACTTACTCAACCCGCGATTCGAGCTTGACTGATTTTTCTCAGGAATGACCATGTTCAAGAAGATAACTTTGAAAACATGATCCACTTCCCGACAAAAAAAAACCTTTGTACTTGAGGAGCTTCGTAGAATTCATAGCCCACATCTAAAAAATGAATTCGTTATTTTTATTTTCAAACGGAGGACTGAAAAGCTTCAAAATTATGATGTCGTTGATTTAAATTGAGATCTGATACACCCTGAAACTACCGAATCGCTGACGAACAAAAGCATGATTTTTGTGAGTAACTAAATTTTCCAAAACACGATAAAGCTTCTGAATTCCAAAATAAAATGAAAAGAATTCGGAAATGAAAACTATGGGTCATCAAATATCGACGCTTATCTAACGTTGAAAACATAAAGAGCGCATCGACAAACACGCATCAAACGGCAAAGGAGTCGAGCATGGATGGGATAGCGATCGGTGTTCACTATTTCAACCCCAGCAAATGTGTGCTTTCACTCTCTTGGAACTGGCTTTGAATTAATGTATTATCAATCAACATCACTAGGCTATTTCAACTAACGGGAATCATACTCGTACTCGATGGTGGTCGAACGCTGACTTAATGGTTAGGAGGCATTGATTTTATTTAATCCAAGAACTTCATTGGGTCAAAAATCTCTGGTATGGGCGAAATCAGAAGAGGTAGTACGAACACCGAGAGCCTTAAGACACAAGTATCAAAATCAGCGAATGATCAAGTCAGCAAGTGGCACCGCTTTTACATATTAGAATTATCATTACTACCTCACTAGTACGCTTTTTCGTGACATGCTCATTAACACGTTTTACTGGAGGGGGATTATCCTCGAATTTTCTGCTCAAATGGAGGTAATCGAATACTGAAACCTACAGACGATTCGCACGAAGCACGGATTTTCTATTCTTTTCCTCGAACTGGGACTTCAATCGGTAGAAAAAAAATTATGGGGGTTTCAAAGAAACGGGATGCTCTCTCCGGTGCTTCTCCTTTCTCTCCCAGAGGTATCTGAACGCGGGGATATTTCGCCCAAGATTTCCACGTCTTCGTCAATCGGCTCAGGACTGACCATTCCGTCTCCCAACGATTTTTCTTCAAAAAACGGCGCACTGTGGTGTCCGTTCTTCCGTTCAAAAAATCCACCCAAAAAGGATTCTCCATCCTCGGCTTTTCCTTCGTCCGTATCCAGTCTCCGTCGTTTCTCCGATGGCGAACCTGGAGTTGACGCTGATGAAGAAGAGGAAGAATCAGAGGCTCTTTGGGCATTATCCACGGGTTTGGCACCAGGAACAAGGTTCACTTCTTCGATTCTTTTCGACACTTCCCAACCTTTCAGGGTCAGTTTCCCAGCTCGAATATCTCTGGGTTCTTGCGCTGCCCGGAAACCCTTCGTCGACGCCAGCGCATAAACCTCTGGGAACTTCAGCGCCATGTACCCAATGTGGGCTTCTTCATCGTCTTCATCCTCAAACAACCGGCTGACAAGTGTAGCAGGCGACAAGGGTTCTTTCGGCTCGTTTGTACACTCGAACACTTCGTCGTCTTCGATCATCTCCACCAAAGGCTCGAACCAACCACCGCCTTTCTCGTACAATTCCCTTTCGAGCATCTCAACATCAACCGCTTGTTTCACGGTCACCTTCGCTGGATCGTATTCTTCGTCTTCGGCGGCGTCCATAAGCTTGGCCTTGAGTTCAGCGACAGATAAACTGTTTTTGATGGTCTCCAGTTCCTCTAGATTTGTTGAGTTCAGGCAAACACGGATGAAATCACGGAGAAAACCGGATATAGCTTTCAAGGTTCGCTTTCTGGATGCGATGTCCGTAACCAGCACAAAAACTCGGGCAGGACTCCTCTTTCGGCGGACCTCGACGAGAAACGTTGACCACGGCAGCTTCGGCTTTCCGACAGCGTCGACACTCTTGACGATTTCCCGCGAAATTTTCGTCTCCACTTCCGTAAACGACTGAGTCATCCACGAGTCTCCGAGGGCATCTCGAGCAAGTGTTCTGCGCTCCCAAGTGGGATAGAAGGCTTGAACGAAGAACACAGAGAGGATTTGATCAGTTGCGCATTCGAAGCTGTCTTTGTTGTTGAGGAAAGTGTCGTCGAAAGTTATTTCCAGCTTGGTGGCGAGATTTTTGTAGTCGATGCTGAAGTCATCTTGGTTTGACCGCGCATCAGATGTGACGTCTTTCACTTCGAACGCGAGTATGTCGCGAAACATCCGTTCCAAGACCCGCGCGACACCAGAGCACCAGTTTTCAACGTCGGATTCATTGTCTTCTGAGCAGGATGAGAATTCATCCATCGGCAGTGAGAATGTAGAGTTATATGGTTTCAGGTGGTCATAAGATCTCTTGGGAGTGCCTTTTCGCAGGAGAATCGTGGACGCAACGTTGTGACCGAGTAGGAGCTGGAGCATTTGATAAGATTTTGATCTCAGCGGTCGTAAGAGCGGTACACCATTCACTGCCGGAACGAAGACCTCTTCGTTGTTCGGGCCAAAAAGGGAAAATATTTCCGCACATTGCTTCACTTTCTTCACCAGTTTTTTAACTCCTGAAAAACAATAAAATAAAAATGTCGATGAACAAGCAATTACCGTAACAAGCATTAAATGAAATAATGGTGGTTCAGAGGCTGTCTGATTGTCTGTCGATAAGCCGGATTTTCTGGACATACACGTATATTCATGAAGAGCCTAGGTAGAATATATACGGATCACTCGAGGACATTTAATGAACAAAAAGATCCGATAGATAAAAGTATCAAGAAAGGGAAAGAGAGAATCCAATCTTCCTTGAGAGAAAATTGTGTAAAGGTTCAACTTTAAAAATGTAGTACGGTATGCATTGTGAAAAAAACAAGTTTAAACAACGCGTTTTAAATAGAATAGTAAGCGAAGACACCCATAACTAGAAAGTGGCACCATTCGAAAAAAAAATAGTTGAAAATCTTCAACAAACAAGTACACGAACCTTCGAAGCTAACAGTCGCACCAATGTTGATGTTCGGATCGATGGGATGCAGTGAAACCAAAGGGACGTTTCTTTCAGTTTCCTTGCGTTCTCGCAGAGTTCCAACTCCTGTCAACACCGTGGATTGTGAGAAGTCAACCACAGCGGCCTTCTTGAAAAAGCGGGCAATAATTTCTTCAATTTCGAGATCGGTTTCAAACATTCCAACAGATCCTTCGCGCATTCCTTCAGCGGACGGAACTCGAAGCGCGGGGTCATCGACACCAGCGAGAATTGCGATCACCAACCAAAGAAAGGCAGTTTCTGACAGGAGACCACTTTCGTGTCCGGTGATACGCTCTCTTCGCCCCCACCAAGACAGCACAGATAAAACGTATCTGATGGAGAGAAAAAAAGTCAGCAACTGGAAGAAAAAGTGACCTATGTTTCATACAAATTGGCTTTTACCCAGAAAGCAACCACCACCATATCGCTCTTCGTCAATGAAGAAAGTGAAACATGACTCGCAAAAAACGCAAAAGTTATATGGGCACCATATTTTAGAACACCGCAAACAATGTCGATACAACATAAAACGAAACAACGGTCTGTTGGATTACGGATCTTAAAAGCAGAAATTGCTGAAAATTACCCGACGGACTAAAATGACATGTTGTCGTACAAAACCCACGGGAATGATTTTTTCAGCCATCATAAGCTGAGGCCATGAGCGAGTTTTCCCAACAAGATCAGTAAAGCGAGCGACCTGGGATTTTTCGCCATATTACTGTCACCTATTTCTTCGACACACGCCGTTTTTCTGGTTTTTACGGTAGACACTCGGTAATTATTTTTCTTCTCTATCACTGTATTACAATAATTTTTTATACGCGACAGGTAGCTATAATTTTTACAGCTGTTGCAGGTAAGCATGTTATGTGCATGAGGTTTGATAATATTGACTTTATATTTTAGCGTTGCGGTGTACAACATAAAATTTGACTAGTTCATTTACAGAAGCAAAATCGAGCGTTGAAGTGATGAGGAGCGCCGATTCAAAATTAGAAAGCGTGAAAATACGGTACTGTAAAAGAGAATACTGTACCCGAATTGCTATACTGCACATTAAAAAACCTTGCCACGTGCAGGAAATCAAAGACTTGTTCATTTACGCGAGTACATGACACTTCTTACCTTAGTCGAAGGTCCATACCAGAATACGCTCGCAACAATCGCGTTTCCTCCCAAATGGCAGTGCAAGCGTCAACGTAAACAACACCGTGGATACCATCAGGACCCGACTTGAATGGAATTGCTGTCACGCCATCCCACACAGCTGTTTTCCCGGGTTCAACCCCAGACACGGTTTCCAACGCATCTTTGACAGCCGACGCAACAGAATCCTTTTCCAAACTGCTGTATGTCACAAGAACTTCGACAAGCGACTCCTTGAAGCAGAATTTTGTCCCGGAAACTGCAATCAACAAGTGGAATCAAATTAAATCGAAATTTGATCACATTTCCAATTTAAAAACGGATTAGGGCCCGATGACCGTTTTCAGAAAAATCGTATTTCGTAATAACTTCATACGTGACAACGGAGAAAACCAAGTTTCAATAAGACAACTATCCTAGCGATCAATTTGGATTAGAAAAAACGCAAGATATTGGTTTGAGCATGGGCTACAAAAATTAGACCGATTCAAACTATGAATACAGTATAAAATTCATTGAAAAAGCTGACTACTACTGCGAATAAAACTAAAGCATTGCCAGAACTTGACGATTGAAGGTGCAAATGCGAGATTACTTCAGGCAACTTCCATCTTACATGAGTTTCTTCAGGGGGAAAGTTATTACAAATATCCCTCGCAAAATGACTTACGCCTTATAGAAAATGTTAGCGAAACTTCCAGTTGTGTTGAATTCAATTTATGAAGAATTCAATCAATCGTTGCGTTCGATCAATTTATGTATCAGAAATTGAGTATCAGATATTGATGAGACTTTTATAGCCAAGAGAGCACGGTAATTTTCGACGATTCGACAAGGAAGAGCACAACAATTCTTACTTCGGTTTACTGGATTGAGAAAAAAGACCACGACACTTACTCTTAACAAGTCGCACGGACATGTCACCGTCGGGCAACGAAACGCGCAGTTGCGATTCCAACTTATGCACAATCGCTTCCATAGCACTTTTCGTTTCTCCACTAGCTTCAACATGCTTCATCAACGCTTCAATTCGTTCCGTAGCACCTTCCAACTTTCGTACACTCGCCAACACGGCCGGGTAGTCAACTTCCAGCGGGTTCGGGAACTCCTTCGGTGTCGCATTCGACGTCCGCCACTGCACTTGCAGCGGGAACCCATCGATGGATCCCCGCTTCTCCTCGACAGCCCCTTCAGCTTCGGCTCGGCAACCAAATTCGGCAATGAAGTACCCTGCTGGGTCTTTAGTTTGCACCCCGACCACATCCCAAACGTTCCCGTACTGCGACAACCACCTACGGCCATACAAAATTGAAACTTCACAGTCAATCATCGGCACACGGAAGAAATCACACACGCACAGTAGGGCTTCATCGCTACGGACATATCGATAAAAATTATTTTTCTAGACATTGAATCAACTCGTACACATATCAGCTAACGACATCCGTATCGAAGAAGCTCCACCGTGACAAATTCGAACTTCAAGGAAAGCACGACGCAGCGCCATGTTCAAACATTTCCCGATTGCACCACGAAACATTTATGAGCCCCTCTTTTTCGGTTACAGTGACTTTTTCATAAAGTAATAAAATAAAGTATCAAAATATCCAGCTTCTGCAAGTCTCCATTCCGCCGAGAAGTCCAATAAGAATTTCGTCCATTAGCCAACTACTCCCAGGCAACGAAAGGCTGCGGAAAAATCGAACGGCTTCGAAACCCTGGGAAAAGACTAGCACGCATTAATGAACCCTAACAGTTCCCTCCCGCAACAACCATACACCTGAAGAGAGTTACAAAAGGAAGGAACTGCGACCGTTTCAATGAATGCCAAAAAGACCTGAATATACGAGAGGTAGAGCAATTCCACGGTGCACCGGACACGCAAACTGTCCTTGAGTCAGCTTCCCGGCGATCTGCAGCGAGTCTCTGTTCGAGATTGTTCTTATGGCTTTTCCCGAAAACGTGACGTTCCCATTCGTCCAGATCCGAGATTTCCGCACCACACAACTTGCACTCGAATTTCCGCGACTCGAACGCCATCACTAAGAAAGCGCGAATTACTCATTCACCATCGTAATGAACCCGAGACCTGGAAATCAAGAGAGAATTGAACATTGTTACACTATCCACAGAACTCAACTGGAAGTTATCGTTTCGACAACAAATTCAGAAGCACCGCAGTCGCGGCAGACACATTCAAAGAAGATAAACCGAAGCGCGCATACATCATATGACATGGAATCCGGAGGCGAGTGGTCGCAAACTTCTCCAAATCTTCAGATACACCAAATCCCTCGTTACCTACAATCAACACAGAATTTCCCTCCCGTTTTCTATCCACATTTATACCGACATCCATGGCAGATGACGTAGAGGCGTAAACATTCCACTGCTTGGATTTCATTTCACGAAGAATTGACGGTAATGAGTGACAAGTGTAGACTGGAACAACTTCCATAGCCCCTGAACTTGCTTTACTGACCAAGGGCGACAAGGGATTCCTGAAAGCACACGTATCCAACGCAAGTTCAGTCGTTCATCATCATCGCCGCCAATTCAACGCAATCCACACGCGGACAAGGACCATTACGACAGCGGCCATCTTTATAGAGGGCGTCAATGAGCTCTTCCTGACTCACCTTGGCGATGCATTCATCATTATTTTAGAAACACCGAAAAATGCGGATGAACGAATTATTGCGCCGAGATTCATTGGGTCATGAATCTTATCAAGGCATAACCACATTTGATCTCTCCCATCTTCCTCCCTTTGAATAATTTCATCCAGACCAACAACTGTTTTAGGTTTCAGGGTTGATACCAAGGCTAAAATCCCCTGATGAACAACTGAGGAGTCCTCCACAGTTTCTGCTGTAGATCTGCCAGACAAATTTTCGCAAGACAATATGTCGTCTGGTCAAGCATGATGAACTTCTTCCCACTCACTTGCTAGCAGACTTAACCAAATTTTCAATATGCTCAACAGGAACGCGCTGAACGTCAATGCCTGCATTTTTGGCAGAAGATTCGATTCGAGCGAGCCTCTTGTTGATGGTACCATCATGCTTCCGCTTCATAAATATCCTCGTGAACTTACGTCTCCCGACACGTAAAGCAACATCAATAGGATGCACTCCCCAGAGAAATTCAAGCCCCATCTGGAACTTCATAACGTCAAACTCAATTTAAGAACTTGGTTGCACTTGAGTGTGTGATCTATTGTTCTCCAGCGATCATCAGTGTATCATCGTGTGCAAAAAACCGTATCTCCCATTGTTCCTCTTGGCTTTAAGATATCGGCACTTTTTCATTCAAAATGTCTTGCTATTCTTGAAGCTCATTAGCTCGGCATTTCCTTCAACTATCTGATAACATCTCGAAAAATAAAATGAACAGAACAAGGAGGTTCTTAAGAGTTACACAGCATATTAACCATTTTAGAAGTAAAGTTTTTGATTATGCAGTGCAGATCCAACAGGCAGAATCCGCTCAAGAAAACCAGATTACGTGAATCTCACCAGATCTTTAATTGCACATACGTTTGTCATTCTCAAAAGATTGTTGAATTTCTGGTACTTGCAAATAATTTGATTACAAATACAATATACTCTACCGTATTCACTCGAGTACCAGGCGCACCTTTTTTCTCAAATTCCAGAAGAAAAAAAGGGGTGCGCGTCATAAGCGGGTACAAATTTTTCAAGAAGTTTTAGGAAGTTATAAATGCATTATACTTTATTAAAATGGAGAAATTTGAAAAAATGTAACAAGAAAACTTTCTTGTACTGAAAAAGTTGAAAATTGATCAGATTTTTGTCCAATGCATGTCTAAAGTCAATTTTTTGTTTTTATTTTCGAAATTTTGTGGTTTTAGATTCACTAAAACTTGGGGTGCGCATCTAACTCGGGGATAAGATTTTAGCCAAATTTCCAACTAAAAAACCCCTGTGCGCACCTTACTCCAGGGCGCGTGGTACTCGAGTAAATACGGTTTACTTCAAATTAATTTCACAAATACGGTAGAAAATCAGGAAGATACCGCTTTGAAGAGGATGACACATCGATATGTGAAGGTAAACACACTTCACGGTATAGACGACACACTCAAGCAGCACCCAGGGACAATGGGAATAATTGCAGCAGATCACAGTTGATCGAAATCACAAACGTAGAAAGATTTAATTCAAAACTTCATTTGACACCCTTCCGCTTCCGCTCCTTCAGCTCGGAACCCAGCAGATTCTAGACAAAAATAAAGACCACACAATTTGAAAACGGTATTCATGGTCATTTCTTCTCAACTAACCTTTAAAAATAGGTAAGAATGGTTTAAAGTCGCAGTCACTCGGAGAATTTGGATAACCATTGCCTTTTCCTCCCAACACGTAACGAAAGGTAGAGCAGTCGTAGCTAGTTTATGTGGACCACTTCGCATTCGCATCACAAAATGTCCGGAGGTAAAATAATGCATCACTGAAAAATCGTACAATTGGTTACCACCAGTATTAAGGGTCTGAAAAATATCATTCAATTGCTCCAATCAAAAAATTTAAAATTATAATGATCGACGAAGCGTACATTGTTAAATACTTCACAATACAGGGTACGCGATTAACGCATGCATACAACTGACCAATAATTGTTCACTTTTAAAATACAGTTACTAAAAGTATCCCCTCAACGACTCTTTGTACTGCAACGGTTAACTATGAATGAACAGTACATCAATCAAATGAATTTAAGCACACTTTTGGACCAACCCATTATTAAATTTTGCACAGAAATTCAAGACAACCCAGATATTACGACGCGCCGAGATTCGTGAGACAGAATCGGAAAACTTTTTCATCGGAGAACGGAATTTTAAAAAATATTAAAATTGGACTAACCTTTGAATCCTTGTCGAACGGATGTGCTCCCGAATTCCCCGTGAAGCTTCCCCACAGCACCCAACACGACTTTCGAGACAACATTCGCATCCATCTTTCGCAAAACTAAATTACTCTCATCATGGTCATCACTGCCTTTATTAGGCAAGCGTATTGCGCACGTAACGTACCGATTCTTGAATCGAACCATGACTAAGAATGAAACATAAACAAAATTATTTTCGGGAATACGAGACGTGGACAAGAGTTGAGGAATATAATTGTGTTACAAACGATGTGCCACAAGGTATTTGACCCTTTTTATTTCTTCAAATCTGCTCTGCGGATCTTCTCGGCCAGAGGATCTGCGTGTGAAGAAACAAGAAGGGAAAGTGACGCAACGGAAAACGAACACCGTTTAAGAGATGAATCTTACCGCTACAAACCCGTTTGCTCAACGGAACGTACACCTTCGATTTGACTCCCGGAATGAGCAAGTCCGCATCAAATCCAGATAGAACACCACTGTCCAAAGCTTCCAGCATTTCTCCAACCATTGCACAGCTGATATATAATGGAGAGGAAAATTGTATGCGGGTACAAGTATGATTTCTGAACTTTGTTCAGAATGCATCACAGGGCTTTGTCTATTTCTCTACTTCGAAGATATTTCTGGAGTATACTCGGGTCACGAGTCTTCAGACAATCCAGGATTAAAGAGGACGTTTAGCCCTTCTCTGGAAATGTTTTCATGCCTTGAAGAAGTGAGTTTTTCAGTCTTGCAAGTACTGCATTCGAATAAATCTTTATTCTAGTTATCAGACCGGTTCTTTGGTCTAGCTGACTTAGTTCCGATATATCCTCTACACTCTGCATCAAAGTTACGCTACTGTAGAATATTTTACTGCGCTACTACTCACCGAACAGCAGATTTACACCAATGCCGCCTTAGATCACGGATAACGAATTTACGGGAATCCTCGGCCATCTTCCACTCGACATTTTCAAACTCACAACGAAAGAGACACAGGGGAATTTCCCAAGCCATGGAATACTGCGGCTTCCTTAAAAGAGGCGAGAAGACTGAAATATACTTCTACAGCGGTCACAACTTTGAACTCACCCCGGAAACTTTTCCAAGTTCATCAAATCTTGGATGATCTCCGGTTCTTCTAAACCTTGCCCGATCAAAATCAACACAGCCATGATGCATCTGACTTGATGCCATAAGAACGCTTTGCCCTCTATGGTCAATACGGACATTCCTGGTACTTGCTTGCAGTCGGAAATTTCTACCTTAGAAATCGACCTGACAAAATTTCGCACTCCATTCGCCACATCAGGCTTGCAGAGATTTCGGAAATCGTAAGATCCGAGCAAGTTTTTCGCTCCCATTTTCATTCTCTGTTGAACATACGGTATTCGCCATTTAATCATCCGTATCCTTTTTTGATAAACTCTTAAAAGGAGTGACATTGGGTGAAGTATTCATGCAAGTACTGCTCAACACGCCTGGCCACAAATGTTTTGACGAATCCAATACATTATTAAAAAAAAATTTTGTTGTACGCAAATGATCACGAACCACGAATTTGTTATGAAATTTAATGACTGCACCATTAGCGCCTTGAATTGCACAACTGAACAAGAATCACTTTACTACATTTAGAGTTCATGGAACTATTATGTCACTTCGAAAAATATAGTCAGAGAAAGAATATACACGATCTTTACGAGTACTGTACAGTACTGTATACGAGAATTGCATCAAGTATTCTGCAATGTGTTTTATTCTTAGAATCTTGCTTTACTTGTTAATTTTTCAGACACTGATCATTTGAGTTGGTTGAATTGTTTTAAATACTCCATAAACTACCATTCCCGATTCAAATTGAAGATGTCATCGACTTCAAGACGCAGACTAATCTTTAGTGCGGTTACATCAATGAAAAGACAAGTGATATTCCGCAAAAATTCGTTACTCCAAGAGGACTTAGATATATTCATTCATTATTTTGACTCAAAAGTAAGAGAACTCACCTCAACATCAAGATCTGCCTTGGGGAAAAAATATTTATATTGACGGAAGAGACAGTTGAATCTGGCAGAAAAATCTTGAGGAACACAGGCCCACGCCACAAGACGGATGTCATCCGGTAACACTCGATTCAGCATTCCACAGTAACTAAATAAAGATAGGTAAAAAATAGAATTTTTTCAATTACAGAAACAACAAGATCGTAAGAGTAAACTCACTCCAACTCATTTTGATTATCACTTCCCTCCTTTGAGTTGCTCCTTAGATCAATGGATATCACCTGCAAAAATATTTCATGAGCGAAAGGCATCCTTCTATACGCACGGAGCGTAGCGGAATTCTTCAACGTCATCGAATTCTGGATGGTTGAATTTATTAATTATACTACAGCCGATTGGGAATCGCTCAGATAACTGAATGTTATTCTAACCATTCAAATTTGCCCTCAATTTCACAGAAAATAATCCTACTTGAGATTTCGAGAAAAATCGTACCATTTAAAACCGAATCGCTGACCCTGGCGAAGAAAATTTGCTCTACTTCGGCTTTATAGATGTACAGAAAAACCATGGGGTTATGATCTGAAATTTTAACAGTAAAGCGGAATGAGCGGTAGATGTACGGATACAGAAAATTTCCACTTCCACTAACCTGAGTAAACGCTGAAACGCCTTTGTCGGTTCTACCACACCTGTGATAGTTGGATTGCTCTCGACTTTCAATCAACTTTGTTCTGTCCAGAGCTTCAAAGATGTGCTTCTCAATTGTACTCCATTTCTCTCCTTCTTGAGCAGCAAATCCATGATAATCCCATCCCAAATAAGTTATCCATAAAGCAACATGACGCTTTCCATGTCTTCAAAAAAGAAAAATGAATAATTACACGGACGCAAAACTGAGAGCAATAATTCTCACTTGGTGAAATCAAACGGACGAGATCTCTTCGGAAGTTTTCCTAGAGACCCGGATTCGTTTTTGCTTCCAGTCACCTTCGCGAGAACATTCCGCAACTGTTTCACTTGCTGCTCGTACGCAGTTACCCGGGCAACCAGCTCCTAGCAAGAAAAATTAACAAAATTAATCAACACAATCTGAGTAAACGAAAAAAATCTTTGTACTTCTCGCGATAGAGCATTCCAGTCTTTTCTGCCAGACGGCTTCGATTCACGGACTTTATTTGTAACAGACGAATCAGAACACTCCAACTTCGGTTTCTTTTCCAGGCCTGGGCTATTCTCGTCATTACTGTCCGCCAGCTCCATGACACCCCTTTGTGAAACAAACGAAAATACGCGTGCATCGGAATGTAATATATAAATCCATGAAATGTCAACATATTCCAGCTTTGAAGCCCGCAAAGAAAAATGTAGCAAGCACGCGTGCGCTGCGAAACTCACTAACATGCTGGGTTTTCACGGAGTCACGCTGTCGCGGATTGAAGAAAGGGAAGTGAGGGAACAAGGATAAAGCAAGAAGATACCGTATGGTTCAAATTAGAGAAATTCAAGATGCTTGCCGGTCTGTAGCGGAACTCTTTCAGTTGGACGTAGAAACAAAAAGTCGTCGTCGTCGCATAGGGGAGCCAATCCCTCAAAAGGGCACGCCGATTCCAGGAACCCCAGGGGTCCTGGAATCGGCGGGCGACATGGGAATAGAAACCTCCAGCTTCCAGGAAAACCAATTATCTCTGGAGCTTGAGATACAAGATAAAGGGGGTAGAAGCGACTTGATTTTTTTCACCGGCGGCATGTCAGTCGTTTTCCTTCTTGACTCAAGTTAGCATGCATGTTCTGTCGGGGCCAGAAGGTCCTATAGCGGCGAAATGTCTCATTTGTCAGTTCGAAAGATCGTTGTGAAACCCGAAGCCGTGCAATAAAAAAGGGTTTGGCGAGTCACCAAGGAAAACGACTGACATGCCGCCCGTGAAAAAGAATCAAGTCGCTTTTGTCCCCTTATATCTTGCATCTCATGTTCTAGAGAGGATTGATTGGTTTTCCTGAAAGTTGAACCGTCAAGGATTCGATTCCTTTGTTGAATGTGGGGACCATTGCCCAACACCTTTGTGCCCAGAATTTCCGAAGATGAGAAAAGGCAGAAACCCAATCGCGAAGACGTTTTGAGTTTCGACACAGAGAAGTTGAGAAAGAAACCCTTGGTTAACTTGACAAAATTTTCAGCTGTTGCTGATGTGAAATCTGCGATGTCCTGATGGAAGTTCCACCGCATTTCTGGACACAATCGCTTGTACCAGAACCTAATCGCATCGTTTGATGGTTTCAAATTTATTATGAAGAGGCATCATTCATTTGTTGAATTTTTGGAATTTAAAAGCGTTATACGAGACTTCGAGCGAAATCATTGAACAGACGCAAGTTAAGAAAATGTTTCTATGTTGATCTGAACAACAGTTCATCAACAAATCTTCGAACTGGGAATCCACTCAATCTCAAAGTCATGCAGTATAGTTGGCAAAACCCGCTCAACAACAAAAACGCCAATAAAAAAATAATTGAAGGGTGAACACCAGTTTCACACAAAATAAAATTAGGATAAAGCAACAAACCTCTGTTCTTCTTCAGGAGAACCACCGGAAGCGTAGATATGATCAACCGATGGACTTAATGAAGACTTCAGCTTAGTTTTGCTGGCACCTCTCACGGCGTAAACGTGATCGCCTTTGGGCACCACCGCGGGCTTTTCAACTTCTTTCACGACTTCGGGGATCGCAGAAGAATTTGCCGGACTCAGCACAAGTGTGGCGGTATTCAGAGTAGCATAGCCGTGTTCCGTATGCTTCTGATTCTCGTCTAATCAAGAGCAGAAAACATTGTAATTAGAATAACATTCGAAGAAGGCAGAAGATCAAAGAACACAAAGATAGCCATAGTCGCATAAATTTTGAAAACGTAATGCCAACCGGTAGACCCAGAATTTAAAAATCGAAAAGTTAAAAATAAATCGTGGGAAGTGGCATTTTCCGAGGGTTCTGAGTCCAAGCAGAATACTTCAGAAGTGGGGGATACGGCGAATAAGACTTGAGAATTATTATTGCTCACAGCTGGGGTGGTTTGCCAAAACGCAATCTCGTCATACAGAATATGCTTCTTTCACATTTATACGGACCTAAAACAGTAACCTTCATGTTACCGCAATAATGTGAGGGCACTTGAAACATGCATCCAGAAGCAGAAGAGAACCATGATGACTTGTGTAAATCTGAATTATTTTTGACTGCTAGTTACATCTACCCACTTTAGAATAACCTACTGTACAGAATACGAAATGGACAAGGTAAAAATTTCTTCACGTTGATCACAGATTAAAATTGACTACATCCGCAGCATTTCCAATACATCCCTCAAAGGACTCATTTTCAAGACAAATGATCTCACCTTTGACTTTGTTGTGTCGCCTTTTTTTCACGGAAGGTTTGACAGAGTCCTGATTGGAAGTTCCGTAAGTATGATCGTGATCTCCTAAACAACAGTTTTCGCGCTTCTTCTCACCACCAGTCAACTTTTGCATCCTCCACTCAAATCGCACTCACTGTCAAACGCCCACGTATTCGGCGACCCTGTCCCACATTTGTTGACAGCTCGTCTGAAATACAGATCAAATTCAATCCTGAGAGCGGTGAAACCAAGAGATAAATTCTGCGACGAACGTAAATATTTTCCGTTTTCCGAGCTTCATTACTTCCAAAAAAATACGACCAGAGATTTTAAACTATTCCGATAGCAGATCCAGAACCAAAAGCACCGCAAACACAGAAAGCCCACGGTCTCAAAAGCAATCACTTGACAACTCGCGTCAAACACTGATGTAACCACAATGATTATTCTTTTGTCCAAAAAAAAGTGTGACTAACAAAGAAACACGAATAAACCCTGCATCCAATCAAATTCCTTGACGCGTCTTGATCCCGCGATAACAACTGTTCAGTTCCTCAATTCCGCATAAATTTGGCTTCCTTCTTTCCGGTAACGGTTTCAAAAGCTGGGAATGTTTCAAACGGAAGAGCATTGTTGGAGTCCCGTACACTATTTCGGGTTATGGCTATTTTGCGGTGCTGCTTGTCCGGATTGACCTGTTGAAAAATGAAATGCTTGAAAATCAGGGACTATTCAATTCAGATTTGCATATGGAAACAATTAAATGAAGGTGGTTTCGTTAAATTAGTCTTTCAGCAGGACCACGACTCAATTAGTCTTTTCAACATAAAACTACGCCGCAAAAATAAATCTACTGTGTTTGCCCGACAGACTTCAAGCTGTCAAGTTTCATGGTTCACAGTGAAAGATTTTTCTATGTAATTGAACCGATTGAATTACAGTACATGTTTATTTGAAACACCAACATACATCAATCATCTTCCTCAATGCGTTCAACTTCTCAAATCACTAAAAGTTTAACAAAAGTCAGATACTGAAATACTTTTTCGGGTGAACTCTGAAGCATAGCCCAAGAAATTGGTAGGTATAAAAGTGCTGTGACACTTCCGACTTGCGTCCATTCTGCGCAAATCTAAACGAGATTAAAGATTTCTTGTCACTAAGTAAGAATTTCTGGTTTGAAAATAAGTGATAAATAAAATTAAAATACAAGCCATACTCCTGCAAATATGGGATGGAAATAACGACTAAAAGTGTGTACGTGAGAATCACGTCAAATTTTTCCTGAGTTTGCCATGATTTCTGTTATTTTTTATTTTTTTGTTGGTGCACCAGCAACATTTTTTTTAAATCCTTCCTCGCGTTTCATCTGAAGCACACGGGAATTTTTCAGCTAAATGCATTCACCTTCTTACGGTAAATGCATGCCGCCAACACTCATAAATGTTCTTCAGGCGTTACAGTAAAAATAAATCAGAATATTATATAATTATACTGATGGAACAACTTCCGACGTAGCCATGAAAAAAATGAGCATTAGCAAGAAATAAACCAGACCTGGAATAGGCACAGGATTGCCCCCAGTTGCTCCTCGACTTTGGTCATGATTAGCTTGCACTTTGGCGATCTCTGGCTGAGCAACTTGCTGCTGACCAACATGAGGCCCTTCAGGTTGTGCTTTTTGACCCGATTGCTGACTGTCAACTTGTTGCGGACTGTGAATTTGTTCAGAACCAGGGACTTGTTCTGAATGTACCCCACGCTGTGGTAGCTGCTGATATTGCTGTGGATGCTGCTGGAATTGCTGTGGTTGCTGTCCCATGGGTTGTTGGAACTGTTGCGGATGCTGTCCAATGGGTTGCTGAAACTGCTGCGGATGGTGTCCCATAGGTTGCTGGAACTGTTGCGGCTGCTGGAACTGGGCAGGATGGTTGCCTACCATGGGTTGCTGAAACTGAGCTGGATGAGGCATTGGTTGGCCAGGATGCGGCGGCATTGGTGGGGCCTGGTATCCATAATACTGATCAGCGTTTGGTATCGGGTGCCCAGGGGCTGGAGGCGGCAAATGCCCAGCCATCCGCATCCTGTCGATTTCTTCCCTCCGTTGTCGTTCGTACTCCATAAATTCCTGCTCTGAGAAGGCTTCCTCGTCATCAACGCCATGCCATTCTGGATCTTGCTCGAAGTCCTCCTTTTTCACCATTGCCATGAATTCTTCCAAACTGAAAAGTAATTAGAAAATTTTATCAAAAATTTCCCGCTAATGAATAAATACAAACGTAGATGGCGAGGCTTTTCACCTCGACGCACGATGAGAAAAAAGTTAGAATTATTAGAATCTTCACATTTAAATGCCAAACTTCGATTTCCGTCACGTCATTTAGGGTTCGCCTGAATCACTACCCTCATTCAAAAAACAAAAAACTCCCATTATTTTGGATTATTACAATAAATCTCCACCCATTCAAAACGAATAAATGTCATGGGAAACAAATATTTTCTAAAAAATTAAATCCAGCTATCGAACAAATTCTCCAAAATAATCCTAAACAGAGCATTTACCCAGATAATTAGTCAACGGTATCAAAGGAAAGAAGCAGAATTTTACAAGAACCATCATTTATTTCTTCTCGATGAATAAAAACCAAGAACAAACGAAATTGTACCGCAGAACGAATAAATCTGAGCTAGTTTAACCTATCAAACATCTTGACGAATTTTCAAGGAGAGCAGGCGAAACCTTCGTGATACCTGTAAGAATGATGCATTTTGGGGCGGTTATGAAGTGCAAAATCACAAGATGTACCGTATTGTTAAAATTTTAATCGTCTCTCACTGAAATACTGTACTTGAAAATATAGCAAAAGAACGAAACTGACAAGCTCCAGCAGGGTTGAATTGATGCGAACATGCAGATGAGCTAATAGAAACAAGGAAGACACCCATGAAAGCCAGCCAGGTGGTTTTCATTCATGTCTTAGAAAGCATGAAGCGAGAAACGGTGCGAAAATAAGGACTTTCAATAACCTGATAAGTGCATCTCTGTTGGCATCAGACTCATTGAAAACATGCTCACGCATGCGCTCTAAATCTTCCTCCATTTCCCGCATATCATCTTCAGGCGAATCCGCATTGTACGCCTTTTTGATTTCATTGTGAAACAACAGCTTCACTTCCTCCTGATCCAAGTGTCCATTTCCATCAAGATCATGCATGTAAAACAAGGTTTTCGGATTGAAGTCCTGGGGCTCCAAGTGGTCTTGTTTCTCCCATACTTCTTCCAGCTGCTGCTTACTCCCAGGGTGGTGAATCCTCGGATGATCCTTGTGTTTCTTCACTTCCTCGTCGTGCTTCTCCTTCAGCTTCTCCTTCTCTTCGGAAGGAAGCGTTTCTAGTTGTTCTTTGAACTTATACTGCTTCTCCATCTCGTACCGCTTGAAGTCTTCTTTGCGCTTCCGATCAGCCTCCTCCAAATCCCGGTGTGCTTGTTGCATAAGCTTCCTCAAGTCCTCACTGCCAAAGGAATCTGCTCGAACGTAGTCCACGTGGCCGGGAACCTTGATTCTACTTTGCACACCCTGGCTACGCTCGTGCTCAAGCATCGCGATTTGACGTAACCGCTCAACTTCAGCTCGTTTGATCTCATCTAACTTCGATCTTACGTTAAGAGAGACCATGTCGAGTTTCTGAGCTATTTTCCCGTTTTTGATGTCCTCGGGGTCCACGGTCTCGAGCATTTTTCTGAATTTGTCGTCGCCCTCCAAGGCCTGAACGACTTCTTGGAGATACCGGTTGTATTCGAGTTCCAGAGCATCGTAAACTTCGTTCTCGCTGACATTTTTCGGGTCTGCGTCTGAAGGATGCTTCTCATCGCGGTTTCTGGGCGGGGGAGCAACACAGGAAGATAGCAAAAAAGTAAATAAGAAAACCACAACGCGCGCCATTGCAGAATCTGGCATACAAATGGAAAATAGAAAATAATGCACCCCATCAAAACAATAACGTAATAAAAGCTTTGGATAAGTCAAATAAGCAAGAGGCTCGAGAAAACACATGAATACTTTAAAATGTGTCGGTTGATCAGTAGTATCACATCGCAGTTATACGGGAATAAATTACTTGTGAAAACGTTAAATGTTATCATTTAAACAAAGCTGGTACAAATTAGTCTTAGACATCAGATTTAAATTCACAGTTCACCTATGAAAATATTCAAGGCTCGCTAGAAGAAGCCTACATTTAAAATTCCAATGAACAGACTACAAATCTTGACGAATATATTTTGCGAAATCAAAATGTGTGAAGTCCAGCGAAGATTCTTAAAAAAGATTCATAAAAAATTGATCTGCTACATTCTCAATGATATTCTAGGACCCAGAAAAAGGAGGAAAAAACCATCTTCAATCTTTTGGGTAGTTGAGCTTAGATATTGCGCACTTCAATATTTAAAAACCGATTTCTCAGCAAAGGTCCATATGAAATCCATACTCAAACTCCGCAGAAAATGTCATCGCTAAGTGTTCGGCACAAACGAAAATTTCAACTCAGAAGCACAGCACACTAGCAGAAAAAAAGATCGTGTTCCGAACGAGTGGATAGCAACACCTCAACTGAATGATAGATGAACTTCGGGGATCATCCCGATTGGCGACGCACTCGATTGACAAGAACACACGAAACACGTCCGAGGGATAAAAATTCACCTGAAACATCAACAAGCAAACAAAACTAATCGCATAAAAGTTATGTTAAAATGTCAATGCGACAAACTCGTTCGTTTTCAAGTTATTTTCATTCCAATGCCCGACGTCCCCGAATGCCATATTTTTGATTTGTTAAGGCTACGGTAAAGATTTGGGCTGCCTTAGGCTTTATATTATTCAGTCGAGTCGAAGCTCACGATTCAGGCATATGTTCGGCATTCCATCGTCAGGCGTTCGAGTGAAAAAAATGTGTTCCATTTGAAATTCAAGATGAAAATTTCGTAATAAAATTCATCCAAATTATGGAAGTCCGCTCAAGAGTAAGCACGCAACATTCCAACACGTGGTAACAATCTTCAAACTTCAACAAGCTGATAAACGATGAAAACGAAAAAAGATAAAAACATGAAAAACAAAAAAATCAAGGAGATCCTAAAAATGTTCATTTGCAGACGATTCGAACATTAATATTATGCATCCTGAGATCACGACGCAGACCAAGGACCCAAGAAGGATCCACAGCCCAACACATCACGTTGCCAATTTCCTCGATATTATCCAGATTGATTAAAAGACACAAGGATGTCACAGTCAGCTTTTCAAGCACGCGAGGCTTCCATCCTGGGATGCTGAAGTTGACAGTTTTCAGATTAGGTGTCCACCTTCCATCAATCAACTTCCGCACGAAGCCATCGCCAATATCACTTGACCGGGTTCCAATAAACATCAACGACTCCAACTTTGGCTTGTCCTGCGGAATATTTTTCGATGATTCATAACGAAATCAACAGTAATTCAAGACTTGAAAAAAGTATCATATCGGCTCAAAAACTTGGAAATCGCAGACGCGCTTTGTGCTGATATACAGATCATTAGAATCCATTTCATAATGCGACTTTCAACACGCGCTGCACAAGTAAATGTCACTATTTTAAAGTAGTCTTCTCACATTTCTCAAGTCTCGTACAAACTACTGTGAATAATACAGTATAAAAAAAAAGAAATGAAACTACCACACCAGATTCTTCATCAAGGGTGTCAAAGCGAAAAAGAAATAATAAACTTGGGTTACACATACCTGAGCCAAATATATAAGGACATCTTCTTCCATTGCAGTTTCCTCAGCCCAATGACTCCCAACTTGACAGTGGACTACCCTGAGATTTTTCAAATGATCACTGCCGAGTTCGTAGATTGGCCCGGCATCGGATCCAACAGCATGATGTATTGGATTTGCCAAATCATTCATGAGGATATTCAGCTTCAACCATAATTGCGACAAATTGCAGCAGGCTCTCCCGATCGCCAGCAATTGTGAGTACGTTATCCGATGGGACAGAATCGTCAAGGAAGACAAAGACGCTCCGAACCTTTAAAAATGAAGGTCGTTCAAAATCTTATGAATTGTTTGCGAATTATAGTGCGACGGAAATGCACTCGATGGAGAAAATTTGCCAAGGCCGCATTTAAAAAGAGCAGGTCTCTTCATCAATAAAATCAGAAGATGGACAGGTCTTCAAAAATTTTCCAAGTGTGTATGTCGAGAAGGACTCACTTGTCGAAAAATCTCAACGTATTCCTCCCAACATTCGTCGCGTTACCAAAACTGTAACAAACTTCCAAAGCTTTCACGCGTTCCATAAGTGGACTCAGCTTCCAGATACTGGAGTCGTCGACGCGAGATTTGAAGTTATAAAGTCTGGGGCAAAAATCCATCATCAGCTGCACGAAAGACGAGTCCGGAACCAAATGCTTCCTATCATTCAAAACGAAGCTATTTGTTTATAACTCGAACACGCTGAATACTGTTGGTGGTCCCACCTTTCTTGATGATCCGTGATATCACATCTCGTTCCAATATTCGAGACATGCGTTAGGCCGCATTCTCGGAATGGAACATGTGCAGCCAGGTACATTCTTTGTATCAACTCCAAGACAAGACGAGCTCGTTTAAAGCCGGTACACCTGCAAGTTACGTCAACACGGAATTCATGAATACAATCATGCAATGTTCACGAAATTCAAAAATTTTGAACCTTGAATTGACCGAGCAAAACATAAAAGCAATCACAAAAGCGGAAAACACCGAAGATATTTGAGGTTGAGCATAACAATTTTTTACAGAAGAAAGCGAGTGCAAAGATGAACAAGCGTAAAACTGCGCAAATGTGAGAAATGCCACGGATCGCATCACAGAATCTTGAATTGAACTACAAAGCTATAAGCTAAAATCATTGTTTTTTATTTCCATATGTTGATACCATATACAGTACTACAGTACTACTATATACTACCATATACAGTATACTCCTATATTGATACTACTACTGTATATACGAGGGTTCTAACAAAAGTTCTCGAAGTAGCAATGAAAATGGCATACAATTGAGCTGAAAATAATCTATTCTCTAGCACAAACATATTCTTTGGCACACAAAAAAAAATCAGCCCGGTTTGACAATTTTTTTAAAATTTTTTGCAAAATTCATCCATATAGAGTTTTGCTCTCCACTCAAAAAATGAGGCGCCCTTTTTTTGTAGTAGCCCAGCTTTCCCCTCAGAATTTTTAAAATCAGCTTGTCATTCTTTCTACGGGTTGCCTCCATGTCATCCAAGGCAATTCCGCCATTTTGGCGGCTGTGAAGGCAGCTGTTGATGAAAATGGCGGAATTGCCTTGGATGACATGGAGGCAACCCTTAGAAAGAATGACAAGCTGATTTTAAAAATTCTGAGGGGAAAGCTGGGCTACTACAAAAAAAGGGCGCCTCATTTTTTGAGTGGAGAGCAAAACTCTATATGGATGAATTTTGTAAAAAATTTAAAAAAAATTGTCAAATCGGGCTGATTTTTTGTGTGTGCCCAAGAATATGTTTTGGCTAGAGAATAAATTATTTTCAGCTCAATTGTATGCCATTTTCATTGCTACTTCGAGAACTTTTGTTAGAACCCTCGTACTGTACCATATTTTGTAATGTAATAACATTTATTCTTGAATTCCATTCGGAATTTTGTCTCTTCGCAATTTCTTGTTTTGCGCACGTGCTCTTTCGATGCTAATTCTTCAATTATAGCTATTTTTATACTTGCACATTCGTGCAATCGCTCTTCAGCTGAATAACCACTAATAGATCACACGACAGAAATTATCGAAAAAATGAATCTCACAAATATTGCTGCGCGATCAAGTTAGGTAACGACGTTCGAGGCAGCGATACTTCTGTCTCATTCCTTGCCGAATTCACAATAAATTTGTAGAATCACGTAATCTTGAGTAACATGAGTTCACCTGAGTTTTGAATGCGATATGATGAGCTTAGCCACGACTTCCGCACTGACAGACAAGCAAGCCCCAACGGAAACCGACTCCAAATCGGGACACGGAATTTTCCGCTTATCCAGCTCGAACACAGCTTCCGGCAAAAGATACGCTAAACAATGATCATCCACAATCCCACCCAGATTCGACACGTCTAGGTGTTTGAGCCGTCTCGACCTGTTCCCCAGGGCTTCAAAAATGGCGTAAAAGTCCAACAACGGCGGAGCGCATGACAAAGTCACTCGTTCCAAGAACTCAAACGCCACCGGCATCATCAGCGCTCTGGCAAAGTGGCCGCAAGTCTCCTTGATAACAGGCAACGCCGTCAACTCGGCCCACTCGGTATTGGACGGCAAAGAGCCGTTCTTGTCCAGGGACACTTCTTTCAAGCCGCACATGACAAGAACGGAGAAGGCACGGATGGAGTCGACACATACGCCTGCTGCGCGGGTTACATGAATGACGGCAATGTCGGTGAGCACTGTTCGAGGGAGCTGGGAATAATATCGGGCCACGTCGGTGTACTTTTCAACGAAGTCTTCGTGCACGGCGGTTTTGGAGTGAGGGTCGTGTTGAGTGATGCGGAGGAGCCAGGAACACGCGGACACGGAACATAGTTCGACTAGAGTCGGCACTGGCTTTAGTCTCGGCATCTGCCAAATTGAAATTAATTTAAAGCAGGGTAGAAAGGTTCCCACTCGAAGAAGGGATAATAATGCGCAGGAAGGTAAAATCTACCGATTCGTCTGATTTTTTCATCCGTGCCTCAATTCTTCCGATTTTTTTAACATGCGAAGGATGATCCGAAAAGAATTATACTTGAAATCAAGTTCTTTGAATAACCAAGTTAAAAATCTTCGAGAGAAATTAATCTTGACATTTAGAAACGCTAGAATGATCCCAACGACTCAGAATAAGATTGACTCTCCGCTTAGCTCAAAGCAAATATCAAAAAATGTATTTCAAAATTATAAGAAAATTTAGAATTATAGAATTACCGAGGTTTCATCTGACTGCATTGAAGATTAATCAATACTTCACAGGACTAGAAGGGAACATTCATTCCCGCCCAAAAAAAAGTTCTGCGTAATGCTCACCTCGATTATTTAGGCGGTCAAAAACTCACGCGAGGAGTTCACGCGAAAATCGGTGGCACAGGATGAGCACATGACGTCACCGAAAAACGATTCCTATATAGTGACAACAAAGCACCCGAGGAACGCGATCCTCAGATCACGATCGATAGTCAAATTCTGAAACCATGAGAATCCATGAAAAACCATCAATTAATTCATGTAAACTCACTGCAAATTGATCATACTGAAGGAACAAAAAAGAAAACGCTCATCATTTTCTTCAAGAAAAAACGGCCGGGCTTTTTACTCAAATCTCCCTCAAAAGATCAAGCTTACAACGAAAAAGTTTGACGCGAAGCATGGAAGAAAAATATACACAGCGCGCGAAGGTTTTTACACAAAAGGAATAATGGCTCAACGCCCACCTTTCATTCTATATTCCGCCGCAACAAAACAAAACAAAAACCCCCAGATAAAAATCCCCATCGTCCGAGGTATGAGCAGTAACATCACAAACACACCAACATACAATCTACACGCACAACATCGAGAAACGAATTTTTTCAGTTACTTCGTATGAATCATTACAGACAGAACAAGGCATTTAGAAAGGGAACAAAAAAAAAACAAACAAAAAACGCGTTCCATTCCAGCGAGCAAGAATTCTTAATTTTTCTCTTTTTTCGATGCCTAAAATCTACACAAAAACGATACAGAGTTTTACAGCGCTTCATCGAGTCATCGGAAAGTGAACTCCACTCGTCCTTCAAGAGAGATCTGAAATGAAGAACAAAAACAGAGCTTTAAAACAGCACAATACCTAAAAGTAGAACAGAAAAGCAAATTCATTGACAAAATAAGCATTTTTTCCCCCAGGATGTTCCTTACAGTGATTTTAATTAACCTCACATAGGTGTCGCCTCACAGAATTATCAGGATTTAGACCAACACTGTTGAAAAATTATGGCGAAACCTGTGTCATGAACAGCAAAAATCATGGACGCTTGTAACCGGTTAAGGAAATTCGACGAAGTCTCGAATGGCAACTCACAACTCGGCTCCGCAGCAGATTCAAACTTCTGTTGTATCTGGTCGTACGTAAATTTCACGAACGTCTCGTATTGCTCGGCAAGCTTCGATGTAAGAACTTGGTCGTACTCTGTGCGGATCGCCGCCTCTCGCTCTTTCAACAGTCTTTCGCAGATGAGGCCCACCTATGATTTAGAGAATCACCTCATGAAATCCTCGAAAAAAAACTGGAGTAATGCAGAGATGGATATATTTAGCTTACTTGGCGCATAGTGAAAATCGGTTTGTCTTTGTTGACATTCGGAGTTATCGCAGCGATGTTGTCGGAAGGAGAATGCACGGGGCTGTCCAAAGACATCATGGCGATATGCGGCGGGGAGGATCCTCCGATCAAATGGTCAGGTGAAAGGGATCGCTGATCGGCTGAAGAAGCAGACGACGACGAAGGCGAAGAGGTCGAGGAAATTTGCAACTTCTTCCGCTTCTGCAAACGCTTGAGTTCATCACGAATACTTGCTCTGATGTCCTCTGTAGAGCGGAAATTAAATATCGCATCAACACTGAATTCTATCACCACGACTCCGGTATTTTTATTTTTATTTTTTCAAACTATCAACCACACACAATTTTTCAGGCCCGACTCCGTTTGTTGAATGTTTTGATAATTGCTCCGGGTAAGAGCAGTATCATTGAGTTTTCAGTCTCACAAATGGTGAAAAGACGCTGTCCATAACGGTAGACGTGAAAATGAAACGCAGTCAAAGACGCAATTCCGTTTTTGTAATGCTCTGCAGACTCTTTTTTCGACAGATCAGGGTTTTCGGTATTATTTTTAGAGCTTTTCCTGAAGACTAATGGCGCATGCTATCAAGCTCGTTCATTGTATAGTAGGAAGCCAATTAATATTTTTCAAAATACACGCTACATCGCAGGTGCAATCGCGCCTTATTTAAAACTCCTGCTCTTCCAAAAATTTTCCACGTACAGGGTTACGTACAACCGTGGAAATTCCAGGGAATAATGAAACTTGTGTCGATGAAGGGCGCGAAAGTATCAAGGGGGGAGTTGAGCTCAATTCAAGCAAGTGATTTTCAGAGCATGCATTCGTAAGGGCATATACGAGGGGTTACACGTTTCCCCGCGAACCTCATATCTCGAGCTCCTAATTAGTTTGGACCTTTTCCTCCTCCTTCCAAAATTACTGGAGGCTTCTCAGGATGGAAGGGTTCAGAAGCGGTTCAAGTGATGTCATGCCAGTTTCCCGCGGAGTTTGCGCGGCCTTGACTGGGAGATTTCGGAACCGTCATTTGTTGAAACTTTTGTCGATGACAAAAGTCATTCGCTAAAACTTCGTCTTTGACAAAAGTTGTGGTGAATAACATTTCGAAACTCTCTCCCAGTCAAGGACAAGCTAACTTATCGGGAAACTGGAGACACACTTCTACGGCTCCTGTGCCCTTCTATCCAGTAGGAAAATCACGAAAACAAAGAGAAGCCTCCGATAATGTAGGAAGGAGGAAGAAAAGGTCCAAACTAAGAAGAGGTGTCCAAACTGACTGGGAGCTCGAGATATACAGTAATTAGGTTCGCGGGGAAGCGTGTAATCCCTCGTACTTGAAAAAACCAAAGCACCAACCTGGTGTAAATTTCCCATCAACCTCGTAGAAAGAGCTCTGGCGTTTCGTCGCAGATCCAGTGCGACCATCGGCTCTGCCAGGACTGACCCCGGGTATCAGACTCAAGTATCGACGACGCTTCAAAGGACCACTCGGTGGGCTGTGGACCGGATCGAACTCCAATGGCCGCTTGAGTCCGACAGTCACGCACGCCATGATTTTCTTCACCACCGAATGCTCAACGAGGCAGAAGCTTCAGAAAGTCGTAGAAAATATTCGAGAGTTTCTAAACACCAAGGAAAAAAAACGAATTGAATATAAAATAAGCTAAAACATTTTGTTGCATATGAAAATTGTTGAAAGACGTTCTCGACAAGAAGTCAAGCGATTTCACGCGTACAACGCGCAGACCTCGACACATTCAATCGAACACAGAAAATCACTGCACACTGAAAAATCTGAAACGAAAAAATTTGCATCAGAAAAACGCCACTTCCTTCACAGAACAGCTCAAAAATATAACTGGAGTAAACTGCTTTATTGCAAGCTCCCTGAACTAACGAAGAAACGCAAACGATCGAGATCGACGTTCCGTGAAAATCAAGCAAATCGTTTGCATACAAAATTGCACTGATACGTATTCTTCAGGTTTGGTCACCGTCTTCATTCGCTTCGTAAAAGTCTTCCACCGCTGACTCCAGGGTTTGTAAATCCGTCATTTTCAATCTGTTGGTCTGAGAAAACGAAGGTTGTTATTTCACTCTCCACAAGCATTCCGCTGAGAATAGAATAATTCGAGCGATCGGAGAAACTGGTTGTGCCGCGATAGCTTCCATAACTAATTATTAATTTTACGCACTCAAGGGAAAATATGAAATCACGTTGAAATGTGTAAGGAAAAACCCCTCACATTGACTCTAACGTGTCCGTGACTAACGGCGTAAATCCACATCAACGCCAATCCCGCCAGGCAAATCAAGAAATTTCTTCGCCGACTGCTTTCCGCCATCCCAGGTAACGGAACTACAGCAGGTACGTCTGAAAAAATTAATCATCACTTAATCACGCGAACTGTTCCCTCGAAGCCAATAGAAACTTAGGAACAGTTCCAATATTTTCATGGCTGCAATAAAGGTTTTCTCCAGCGACGCATTGGATGTCCCCGACACGTAATTTTCTCTTCTGCTACATAGGTGGCGCTCGACACTTTAAGGCTTCATTGGATCTAAATCAGGTCAAATTGTCATCGTCGTTTAATTAGATTAGATTACTGTATAAAGCTGATGATGTCAGGACAAGAATGGTCAACAATTTGTTGCTTAGTCATTGATTTTCCCCAGAACGAAGGATTTTTCAAACAAATTACTCCATTAAAATATACGATGGCTTTTATGCAGGAAGAAGAGATCAAGTTGGCTCAGACAGCAATAAAAAAAGGAAAGATCTACAATGACACGCGGAATGTTTACTAAAATCCGTACACAATTCTGGATTTCACCAAGTATTCATGGGCTCAATTTTAATTAAAAATTGGGTATAAATTCATCCAAAATAATTTTTTTTAGATACGGTACTGACAGGGGGTTCATTTCCATTCTTCGAATGAGCTGATACTCGAGGTGTGCACAAAATTTGACTTTGCAAATTCCATGAATAGCTCGTCATTTAGAGAAAATTCGGGACAGATCGTGAGTCACGTTACACCACCTGAACACTTCAAAAGCCATGTCTGACAATTGAATAGAAATAACACGGAAAACTGATGTACCCGTAGCACGTATTCCCCTAGTTAAAATCACAAAACTCGTGAACTAACCTTCTGGAGCAGTTGGAAAGTACCTCTGGAGAACTCTGTCGACGAACTTGGCGAGATTCGGCGTAGCTCGCAAATGCGCCTGGAGATTATTTTTGATCAACGGGATTCGCATCAGCGGGGCAAGATGCGAAAATATCACGGCATCGATGAATCGGGGGGACTCTCCCATAAAAAACTCCGAGTCACCCAGTTTGAGCGACAAAAAATTTAAACACTCCTTCCCGGTCCTGAACACCTGAAAAAAATACCGTAAGACGAGGATTCAAAATCTGGCACGATGAAGACGACAAAGACTGCTCCTTCTCATCATACTGTCCTTATTGAACGTTTTAAACAGATACTGTATCGCTGGCATCAATATAGGGAAAATGCTTGTCGACTCCCGAAAACCAAATTTAGGGACCAGAAAAAATAAAGGTTGTAAAAAACACCCCCATGGGAAGCGAAAAAAGATCGTAATGCAGGAAATTTTTTTAAAAGACAAAATCGTCGTTGAGCGAGTTGACCAGTGCTTGCAAAAAAATTAACCAAACCTAAAAAGGTAAAAAACCTTGACACGAATGAACCTAACGTAATTCAACGAACAGGAGCAAACTTTACTTAGGCCTAAATCTTCACTAGAGAAAATAAAATCAGGAAATAAATATACCTCCGGCGTACAATTGCAACAATGAAATCAAGAAAATTAATAATAAATAAGCCGTAGTAATAACGAACATCTTTCTTAATGAATTCCCAGTTCTCGTTATCCTCGTCCTTGCTGTCGCCTGGCAAGTCGTAGTGCAACCGAATCCGCTCCAACATCCACCTCTGCGTGTGTCCGGGATAAAAATAGTTCAGAGGAAATGGCAATTTCTTGGCGAGAGTGGGACGAATAACGTCTTGATAATTCCGTTCGTCTATCCACCACGCATGCATTAAAGCAGGACTCAGCCTTGTGTGAACCATTTGCTCGTAAGCCAATGAATCAGCACATCGTTGACCGAACTCAGCGTTGTAATTCTGGCGGGGGAAAAAAACCGACGAATTGAAACATTATAACATTCTACCATCACGCACCTACCGTGCGTTCCAAAAAAAAAAAGCTAGCCTTCCAATTATTGTACGAAAATACGCGATTGCATTTATTATCAACATCAGATTACAATAATCTAATTCAAATACAGTACTGTACAAAAAATACGGTAGGCTAATTTAAAGCTACTGGAAGTTAATTAACTTTTTTCGTTCGTCAGAAAGAAAATAATGAACTCATTTCCTAACGTGCGCCAATCTTTGTTCATGGCAACATTTACTATTGACTTCTTGTGTCACAAAATATATATATATATATATATATATATAAAATATATATGTCGAACGATGAGCGACCCATTTTAGCAATGGGCTCATTTCACAAAAGCCGTCAGAAAATTTTAGAAGGGCTTGGTTTTGAAAAGATCATATTTCCAAATAAACAGAGGTATCAATTGCGTACCTCTTTGCAGAAGTGCAGCAAAACATCCTTAGGATCATAATACACAGTTTCACCGTGACGGAAAATCGGAAGCTGGCATCGAACGGTTCCAAAAGATTTCATAAATCCGTTCACAGGATTGTCAGTCCTGACAATTTTCAGAGGAACGCCGGAAAATTTTGCGTACGCCTGGCAAACCACGAACAATGTCCGATCAATTTCAGAGCATTTTTGGGGTTAACCAGAGCAATGTACCATTATTTCCAAGCATGTCGGGTCAATGGAAGGCAGTCCCCAACCGCCACTCCAGGTCTCCAGCTTCATTTGTTTCGACATGGTTAACTAACGCGTCACCAGAGCATATCACAGCACAAACCGCATAAAGTACGACTCATTCAATGGTTGATTTCTGCATTATAATTTGGAAAACATAATTAGAAAATGGGTTTAATCAATTACTGCGAGGGCTAATCCACTAGAGGAGCATCCTATTCTTCCTCCGATGAATGGAGATGACTGGGTCGAGGTGAAATTACCAACCCGTAGAATAAGTCCAGTTTCCCTGGAATAAACTTCTAGCAACAAGTACTCAAGAATTATTCGATAATTTCAGAAAATTGAAATCTTCTTTCGAATTTTAGAAAAAGAGCTTTCAAAAATTAGGGCACAGTTAGGGTTGCAAAAATCGGTTTCTTTACGCATCTCAACTTGCGACGCGTTTCTAAATCTTATCGGTTTAGCAGCGAAGTTGGTTCGCTGCTACACCGTCATGTTTCCGTGCTGTAATTTCTTTGCTCTTACGCAGATGTCGCCCGCATCCTGTCACTTTGCATTAGGTTGAAAGACTACCAGTCAATTTTGTTGGGACTAGTTTCCAGCGGAACTGAATGGATATTCGAGAAAACCAGGTCAGAAAAGGATTCAACATTTTTTGAGAAGGGGTTCAAATACTGAATACACCCAATACGACTGGGTCCTAGTGGGGTGTGTGTAACCGAAAATAAGGTACAATATCGAAGTGGATTAGCCCAACCGAGCAAGAGATGTTCCCCTGCAACAGAATTTTCGCGAAAGCAAGAAAGCCTACCAGTTTTGAACACGCAACGTTTACTTCATGAAGTCATAGTCTCCTCACAATCCGAGTCAGGTTCTTTCGGCAATGGCGGCCACAGGAGCTCAACTTCAGAATGCAACTCGGAAGGAAGCCATTCCTTGTACGCCGTCAACAAGACTAAAATTCGAAAAATAAATTTTAAAATTTTCAAGCTTTTCCCGATTTACTTTTCAAGAGATATAAACTCACACTTGGGATCCTTCCGCAAGACTGCCTCCAACTTGACCTTCGAATCCACGTCGTTATTCATCAAAGCATCTAAAAACACGTCTGTTCGCTTTTGCAACCTGCAACACATCAACCATTAAACACCGGAAAAAAATAAGAAGAGCTTATTTCAGTACTTCGCCCAGGATTTGAATATGGTCGCCGGCGGCGAGAGTAAATTGGGGACGAATTTTTTCAGAGCATCTAAAACGTTCCCCAGCAAAATCGCTTCGGCGAAGTAACGGAACTTCTCAATGTTGACTGGGTGCTCTATCCGCAGCGTACCCAGACACAATGCCGCTTTTCCTAGAATATGATAAAAAATTAATTCATACATACACCAAGGAAGCCAGCTTAAAACTTCTCACCGTATGTCACATTACAGTAGCATTTAACGACTCCAGATTCTACGTCATACTCAGGCGGTGGATCTGGAAATGGCTCGGAAATAGTGCATAGATCTGGAGCAAACTTCGGTATCCATTCAGCCTCAACGCCGATGACACCTGAAAATAACCAAGAGCATTGCCTTAAAATATTCCAAAGCTTCGATTCTACAACTGTATGGGTCACCAAAATGTCACCGATCAAGACTTTCATTTTTAATCTACTACTCATTCCATGGCAGTGATGGACTGCCTCAGTGCGGGTGATTGTCAATGGTTAAATTACAATTAAATTTTGAACTTCGTCATTCAAAGTTCCATCAGCTTATGCAGTTATCTTTTGTGCACCGTAACATTGTATACAATATTTGGGGGACATTTCTCAACATAATACTTCATTTCCTGTTGTCCAGATTTATTTTAACGCTTCCAACGTACTCACTGCCAATCTGGGAGCATTTGAAGCGTGCAATTCATTCGAAACGCAAGAAAATATGTTGAATTTTAAAATGCACGGTGACTTCTGGGAAACCTTATGACATTCAATAAGTTTTCACTTGAACTGTACTTACCTCTCATCATCATTTTAGTTGTTTCCATGATTTCAGTATAGATGACAACTTTCGGACGCTCCTTGAACAACCCCGACCCAGGATGAATGAACACAGGATCAACCAAATCAGGACACCTGTACGCCTTCTTCCATCGCTTCTTCTCCTCTTGCGTTTCCATTTCTTCAAAATTATCAACTCTGACTGCAACTTGGTCCACTAATCCAGCAAGTGCGATCTGTCGCAGCAACTTACACTGAATAACAAATAAATTACGTGAGCGTTTTTTAATGACTAAAGCTTCTTTCATGAACAAACCTGGTGATCACTTGGACACGGAATTTTTTCAGATGACGGAAGATTCAAATTTGGTATAAGCAAATTGGCTTCATTCGTGAGTTGAGACCTCAGTTTTCGCACTTCCGTCAAGGCTTTCAGTCGAATGCCGTATTTCGAACAGAAGGCATCCAAAAGAGCAGGTTGGACACTGTCCGAAGCACCTACAGCTTTCAGCAAAAGGAATGCGTCGCCGAGGAGCCTTGAATTTCCCTAAAGAGAGGAACGAACATCTTCAATAGTATCACATACGAATAAACATAGCCATTCAAGGGAAGATCCTTAATTGAGATACAACACGAAACAGTACAGTACTTTTTTCTTTTCTTTATCACCTGCAGGAACATTTTCAAATTATATTACCAAAAGTTGGAGAGTTGAAAATCCAGCCAGCGGAGATAATTCAGCAGTCGTTTAACAAAACAATAATTCAGGAATGTTAAAGAAAATGTGTATCTTGCAAAAATAATGACCTAATTTGTCAATAACTCCTGTCGAAAAAGGCACTTGAAGGCATAAAACCCACAAAGGAAAAAGATTTTCAACAGTAAATATACGAACGTAATCTGCATTACGAGTGGTCATATTTCCATCACTAGAGTAGAATTATACCGAAAAAGTAACAAAGAAGTGAAGCTGATTTCACAACACACAAATTCCAGGCTACATCTGCTGAAGGGTTCCTGTTGTGTGTGGAAGAGCATTCCTCAAGTAGAATAAGAGGGTTTCCAGTTCCAAGCGGAAACTTCGAACTCGAAATAAAAAAAAAGTCTCACCATGGTAAATTCTTGAAACAAATGAAAGACATCTGGTCTTTACACCAATAAATCTGGACTCGCCAATATTTTGTAATATTGAATATCTTGTAAGATTGAATTTCATGTATGCAAAAATTAAAATACTGAAAAAATATATACTCACAATACCTCCCCAACTCCTTCGCAACTCGGTCCACCTTTCAACAGCCTTCCTCCCACCAGTACCTTCCTCGTCTTCACACTCCTGTCCTTCTTCCAGGGCCCTTTCCATCAACATTTCAGGCACCGCGAAAGCCGAAATCATCGCCACAGTGTACAACATCAACAGCGGAAAATCAGCTTGTCGGCTCAGCGCCAACATTTTCCCGAAGCGTGGTGCCACTGGAAACGCGGCCATGGTTTTGCCCAAGTTAGTGATTACCGTAACTTCTCCTTCTTTCTTAATGGCTCCGAGGAGAAGGAGCCGCTTTTCGGCAGCAGCAATCAATTCCTGACCCGGAGGAGTGGGAAATGGAAAATTTTGAACTCGGTGAATGTTCATGGATTTCATGCGCAGCACAAGGTCGTCAACTGGTCTCAAACGGATTTCGGGGACAGAGAAGGGCTCCATTTCGTCAGAGAAGATAGCTGACGAATACAACCTGTATTTAAAAAAGATAAAACAAAAATCGTTGTTCAAAACACATTTGAAGCGATACTACACGCAATTTTGTTGCATCCCGGATCATAAGTTGATTTTTTTCTGCGCAACCAAAGCAGGTATTGAATTATTCCTTGTACACTGCCAGAAAGCAGAAGGTCTATGCTCAGGCAAACTTAAAGAAATAAAAATCCAATAATAACCAACCTATAACAATGACCAGGTCCTTGTCTTCCAGCTCGCCCAGTTCTTTGACAGGCGCTCGCTTGACTTGTCCAGACAATAAAGAAACTACTAACCCCAGTAGTTTTCTCATAGAATCTCCGTTTCGTTTTTCCACAGTCGATCACGTACTTGACACCCGGTATCGTCAGAGATGTTTCCGCAACATTAGTTGCAACTACGCAAAGTCGATGTCCTTCAGGAGGACCTTCAAAAACTAGGGACTGTCTCCACGACGGCAGGAGGGAATACAAGGGAAGAATGTGCAATGGAGAAGACGAGGTTCCTTCCATTGCAACGTCTGCATCGAAATCATCGTGGTCAGAATCTGATTCGAAGTCCTCGTCGCCTTCCTGGTCCATGGATTCCATTTGCGGAATACAGGAATAAGCGTCGAGGTCAACTTTTTTGCCGACTTTCTGCCGGGTTCGCATTGGCCCGGTTTTCTTCAAAGATTTCACTTTCTTGAGTAATTGGTTCATCTCTTGCTCTTCGGCTGCTTCTTCTTTGACATCTTCCTCTCCATCTCCTGTTTTCACTCCGTTCTCTCTCCGATGCGCTCCGAAGGTGCGTCTCAGTTTACGGCACAAGGTGTTGACCTCTTGTTGTCCGGTGAGAAAAACCAGAATTCCACCTTCCGGAAGTTTCCGATGTATCTTGCAGACTTTTTTATAACTTTCCAACACATAATCCTCCGGGGTTGTCTTGTTGAAATGAACCGTTACTGGATACTGTCTTGACTCCACCTGATCAAAGATTTTTTCTTTTTAATTTAAAATTAACAACAGAAAAAAGACGTCTCCAGTTTAATCATTCACTTGCATGTAAACTCGTCCGTCTTGCACTGCTTTTCCGTTTACATTGCACAGAAACGCTTTGGACCATTAAGCAAAAATAGGAAGTGAAGCAGAAAATGAGAAGCCCTACGCAGTAATTTTCCAGACAACCGAAGTAAACTTCATGTGAATGTTGAAAATTGGTTTGATGCAAGACTTCATAGCGTCCAACCTTTCAAATGCATAGAAACTCGTTCGTCGTCGGTTACTGTATTTAAAGTGATCCTTCGGTCACCCGGAATAAAAGCTGGTTTTTACATTCGATGGAATAAAAGATCGAAATCGATTTTTTTTTTACAAATTCTGTCGAAACCTAATTCAGTACTAAATATAATCAAAGTATAGAACAACGATTACTTACCGAACAAACAGGGGGTGGTTGCCGGAACAGGGTTGCATTTTCCGTAAAGTCTTGCACTCTTAAAGTTGCAGACATCACTATCAGTTTCAAGGGAGGAAGTTCAGCAGATGCACGTTTCCTTCGCAAAGGAACAATCCGCGAGAGTAAACCAAGGAGGATGTCAGTATGAACTGATCGCTCGTGTGCCTCGTCCACGATGACAACGGAATAACGAGTCAAGAGGAAATCCTGCAAATGTAATTCCAAGTTATAATTTTCTCTAGTTGGATCCTGAAGAACTGCCACACTCCATGAAACACGTGAACGACATTAGATACAAGGGGCAGAATTCCATTTTAAACTTTTCGCACGTATGAGCGGGGTTTGATGATCCCGGCATTCCCGGGTGTCCTACGTAGAGGCACTAATGTATTTTCATGAGAATGATCCACGTGAACCTATCTTGAGCTCGCACAAACGTTATTTCATGGATTTATGAATATATGACTATGAAATTCATCCAAGAAAATAAATAGATAATCTAAATATAGCAGAGATACAAGCAATATTTGTTCGGCATCATCTAGAGATTCTAGACAATTAGGTGCGGCCTTTTCCGTAGCAATTTCCTCTTCAAAAAATTGTGTTATCTTCAGGGAAACGATTACTGCCTTTCGATGCCAGATATGAAGGATGAATTAGCGGCATTCTAAAGAAAACATTTCTTTGGCCATGAATGATTCACATCAAATTTATCCGGTGAATGATGAAAACTTCTTCCTTTCCAAGGCAATGAACCACGATTCTTTCGCTATTTTTCTTTAGACACAAATTCTTTATTTACGAAATCCGTCAATCATTCCACAAAATACTCTCGTTTAAGCAGGCTACGCCTTACTCACCGATTGAACTTCTTTCAGTAGAACACCGTCGGTCATGAACAAGATTTTCGTCGACTCCGAAGCATTACCATCATATCGAATCTGATACGAAACCTCATCCCCCGTAAGGTTCATCTCAAGCCCAACACGATGCGCCATACTCATCGCAGCGACCCTCCGCGGCTCCGTAACACCGATCATCAATTTCGTCGCATAACCAGCTTCGTACAAAAACTGCGGCAACTGCGTCGTTTTCCCGGATCCAGTCTCGCCGGCGATCACAACAACATCGTTGCCAGTGATGAGTTCCATGATCCGCTGTTCTTCCCCGAGTATTGGAAGCTTGAGACGAGCGGTTTGAATTTCGGTACTTCGATGTACCGGGATGAAGACGGCGGGTTTTCGATCTTCCTGAACGGGTTCTGGGTCCTCGATGGAGAGGGTGGGGTGTGATTCTTCAATTATCCAGGTTCCGGAAGTGACTTTAACTTGCTGCTCGGCTTCGGAGTTGACCTCCTCTTTTATTTCGGTTGGTGGCATGATTTCATGGGCCTCTTGGACCTCATAGTCTTCGACGTCATCAATCTCGTCTTCGCTCGAGGATAATTGCTAGGAAAATGATGAATAAGAGGAAATGAATAAGAGCAAATGAATAATATATCAATGATGTCTTACGACAGATAAAAGGATTTGAGGGATTTATGTGAAGGATGGCGAATCACTAAAAATTATAACTGAAGTTGAAAATAACTGTTGTATAATTTTGAATAAATTAGAATTGTAGATCGGATATTAATTTGAGATTATCATAAATCGATGTTCTTGGTTTGCTTCTGATGAGGCAAACTCTAGGTAATATTTGCATAGCAATCGACAAATGCGGAAACCCGTTTCGATACATGAAAAGAGGGAATTTCTATGGATTTCCGAGAAGAATTGTGGACAGGACTACATCGTAGAATTTACGTAAAACGAAATGAAGCGAAGGAAATATAATCCAAGCAGTTTCATGATTCATATGGAATTCCCACAATAATGAGTGACCTGGAATTTTACTTACTGAACGATCGATACGTTCGCAGAATCCAACTACAGCACAGGTTCTAAAAATCGAAATCTACATCCCACTTACATTAGGACTAATACTGTATACATATTTTCATACTATACACCTAAGAAATGCATGAATCCAGAAAAACTGGAATGCTCAGCGAAATTCGAAATTATGCTAAATTAACATAACTGTGTCTTTCATAATGGAGAAAATTAGGACAACTCTCACATCAACAATTTCATATCGTCATGCATATGTTTCCAATGTTCATGATTTATAATGAGCTTAATTATATAATCCTTGCTGTCCACAGTAGATCTTCAGAAAGGCCCGAGCTTTGATGGGTAAAAACAGCATCACGATCGGAGTTTTCAGTGAAGTCTTATCCTAAAGAAAATTACTGTTCGCCAAATTTTCTTATTGCGGCCATTCTGGATAATTTCAAGAATTGAATTCTCCCACACGTTACTCACATTCCCTAAGCCGATAACATTCGGATCAACGTGATTTTCCTCTTCGGACTCACTTTCTTCGTCATCCACTGCAACAAGCTTTCCTTGACCTTTCAAACTCCGTATCTTACGGCGTTCTTCTCTTGTCCCACAACTCTGCTCGTTGAACAACTTTTTCAAACCTTTGGTTTGAATAGACGCCAGAGAAATTAGTTCGTCGACACGTTTGGCAGGGATCTGAACCTCTTGCAACGCGGACAATAACGAGGACCGCTAAAATTGAAGAATTTGCATGAGTCAAAAAGAACTGAACCATATAAGTTGATGAAATTACGTTTTCCTTCTTCTCTCTTCTTTCAAGTATCTTCTCGAGTTTCTTGCGCTGCTTTTTGGTGAGAAGTTTTTTTGGCTGCGATGGATTGGGAATGTGGGTCTTGAGTTTGACACGTTTTGATGGAAGCACCTGCGCATTGCAGTCGTCATAGGTCTCGCGATCATCCACTTCCACCGAGACCTTCAAAAAAATATCCATTGATTGCGCTTCAATTTATGTACGGAGAAAAAATTTCATACATGTCGTTTGTTCCATTGAAGTTTTGGTTCTGATAATTCAAGATAGTGTTAAGGTACGTGAAGAACGTTAATTCAGAATTAAACTTCATCAATTAAAAAATAATAATAATACCGGCAGGCGATTATTTTTGGCCAGAGCGTGGATCTGGGCGAAATTTGGCGAAAATTCAGGAAAATGGATAGGGCATGATGTGAAACGAACCCTTCATCGCAAATAAGGGAAAACCTGCTTCCGGAATGTGAAAAATTAAATTAAATTTTCCTTAATCTTCTGGTGGATGTTGTATTTCTATAAACATGCCTATGGTTATTGAAATCGAAAAACGTTGAATCTATTTGTCTTAATAACGAACTCGACTACAACGAAAGTCTCAGAACAACAGTTGGTTTTTCCTGGTTCCAGCCGACTTGCTAAACACGTCTACTTAGCTCCTCTACAACGATTTCCCCAGTAAAACGAATTATTTCAATTTCCTCAGCATATCTACAAAATACAACGCAAGAAAATCTAATCGAATACTTACATTAGTCGAAGATTTCCGAATATTTTGCGATCCAATAACGCCACCAAGACGCGCTCTCCAATTATACGTGCGCTTAGTAGCCATCACAAAAACCACACAAACCTGAACGGATACGAATCAGAAAATAATTAGCGAAGCACAAAATGCCTTCGAAGATTATTTTCCCCATGAAGGATAAAAATGTCTTCTTCGAAGCCACAGAACACGACGAAGTTTTTGCGCGTAAAATCACACGCATGCTTCAGGTTCATAAATGCGGGAAAATGAAATAAAAGCGTACAAAGGTGCGCATATGAAAATTACTTCCGGTTTACAAGCTTATCACACTTCTCCGTCTTTCCCACTGCTTGCGTGGTGAATGTCGAAATACAGCTCAAGGCAGCCCAATCGCTGGCTATTCTTGAACATGTTTGCTTTAACGAAGTATGCACCAGCTGGGACGCTGGAAGCATCGTAATCCAAGTCAAGCGTCAATTTGTTCAGCTTGTACGAATTCTGTTGATAAAAAAACAACACCGAGCAATAATTTTCACATCCAGCATCAATAAAATCGAAACAAGCACGTCTTTCTTGTAAAATTCATTTCGACCACGTGATGAGCGAATCAGATGACCAAATGTTCAACACGTTTGAGACGAAAGAGAAAGGATAAACAGTTTCGAGTGTTGGCTACTTTTATGACAGGCTTTGACACATATTTTTGCTCCAACAGATAATACTGTACTGTATCCTCAAATCACAGTTAAATTCAGACTTTCAAAGAAGAAATCTTTTCCAACGAACACCAGGAAGTGCACTAACAGGTTATTCCAAACCAGAGCATTTCGCACCAACCAAAATCACTAACCTCACCAAAAATTTGCAGAACTTGAACCTAGTGATTCAAATTAACTTTATCCATCTTGAAACAGACTGACCGACACTAAAATAAAATCACCGAATTAAACAATTTCACTGAAGTAAAAAACTTGACGGTTCATTATAATAACACCATGAGCAAAGTACACACAAAATCAGCATTTCCGCCACACCGCGGCGAACAGTCGGATTTTTACTTTTCTTACGAAATGATTAAATTGAAGAAAAGTAACAAACATTTTCAATCGCAATCATCAGGAAGAAGAAACGCAAACTTATTAAATTGTTCAGACAGACAGGAGAACCAACGCAAGAATGCTCACCGCAGGAATCGGACACCGACACGGCACGCCGCTGGAATTGAAGCCCGAAGGACAAGGTTCATCAGGCGGAACAGACACCAACGAACACACGTCCTCATAAAGACATGATCCGATGTTGTTTTTGCAAGGAACCTTTGCCCAAAAGACTCCCAAATGATACTCCATGTGCAGATCCAGTTCCAGAGGCGAAGACAAATCCGCACCTAGATCCGTTTTGACGTAAATGTTCAACTTGCCAGGGATCGTAACTGGATCAGGCAAAATTGCAAGCGACTGGATTTTGACGGGATCTGTGCGAGCACCGCACTGACGCCATCTGAACCGATCCTGAAAAATATTAAATATTCATCAACACATCAGACACTTTCTACATCAATATTGACTAATTTATCGATGAAGAAAACAAGTGCTTGACCTGGTTGACCAAGAAAAGCTTCTTAATTCAAACGATTCCACTCCAGGAAGATCCATTCGAAAAAAATTCACCAAGCGACACACGTTAAGGGAGAAAATTCAAGTGATTATTTTCAGAAGTTATTCATTAAATTTCATTTACCAGCGTTCAACTCATTGAATCATTGAATTCCATCGTAAATTCGTAATTCATTCTAACACGTCTTCTACGTGTCGGCAATTGATTGACATCCAATAGCAGCTGGCCATTGAAAGGACTGAATACGCATTAGAAAATTTTACCAAAAATCATGCTAAGTTTAATTTAACAAAAGAAATTAACAATAACACATTAACACTAACCGAGGGGAAGCTTGTCTTGTCCATTAAAAAGTACATCAGCCCACCAGCGTCATCCGTAGAATTGGCATTCGATAGCGTCTTCACCGCACCACGAAAATCCAAATAGCTACGTATATACCCATTACAAACACTGCTTAAAATTGCCACGAAAAGCAGCGCTTGACACCCCAACACTCCCGAAAACATTCCTGCAAGAAAAAAAACAAATCAATCAAGACAAAAATTGTGCAGTCAGGGAATCTTGAGAACCAACTCTACGACACTCTTTCAGCATTTATACTGCAAAAAATTAATAATACGCTGAGTTCGTCTTGGAGTGGAATACAGTTTGAGCAGCGTGATTTTTCTTCTAGCTGCCAGAACAGAACATCATCGTGACTAGTTCAACACAGAAACATTTTTTTTAACGAACAAGATACTGACAATCTGACAATTCGAAATGAATAAAGACTCGCCGCGGATCCGAAGCAAGAAGAAAAAAACGTAAAAATTCACAAGCTCACATCTATCACATTCTTGAGGTTGAGTCACTCCTGCGGCGCAAAAGATAGATTCCATCACAGATGCCCATAGAATATTATTGCTCGGGCATAAAAAAAATCAGAAGCTTACAACGATGGCATCCTGAATTACCCACGACAAAGCAATATTTCATCAACGATACATTGATATATAATGCAATTTTGTCAAACCGGTGATCGTAAAAAAATTGACGCCCGAAATTCAAGTATAGAACACTAATATCAATCTGCCGCATCCGTCATCCAAAGGATGAAAAATTGAATGAATGCATGAAACTCAAACCCTGCAGAAGACTCTAAATGCATACGTTCGCACTTGATTTTAGCGTACAAAAAAATAAAGCGTTGAAAAGTGATAAAAATTCCGCATTCAAATTATTTTGCACTGAAATTACAGGAAGTTACTACGCATGGGAAAGTTATTATTTTCAGCGCGATTCAAATCTCGTGCGGAAAATATGCTCAATGCACAAGGATTTCGGAAATAATAAAGATTCAAAAAGGCGACTTGAAAAAAAACTTCATCCTGAACCTGATTGACCTCTGCAAGCCAATGAATTAATGCTTTCTTGAAAACTCAAGGAGCCCATAAAGAGAAGGATTTTGAATGGTATTGTGAGATTGAAATGCAGTTGCGACTGGCAGGCACATTAACCCATACTAAAATGATTCTTCGATTCAAAGAAACAACCAGAAAATGTATTACAGTACATAAAAAAATTCAGTGACATCTACTCAAGCTCAAACAGTTCGTCTTCGCAAATGAAGGGGCAGAGAAATGCCTTGTGTGGATTACTCTATTACTCTATTTCCCAAGGCGTAGTAACTTTTTGCACACTCCAACGTTAATAACCATTTGACCTGCCCGAGAAGGACTGCGTTAATTTCCGACAGTTTCAATCTGTCGGTACTTCTTCCGCATGTTCGACACGGGGTCCTTGTATAAAACAGGATCGAAACGAACACTAGACTTCTTCAACGGCACGTAACCGAACCCGTCATCGGATGCGAAAGATGCCATGCAGTTCTGACGCTGAAGGAACTTGTCGGGGTCCGAAGTGGAACCCAGCTTATATTGTTTCCTCTGCGTTACCTTCATGGGAGCAGAACATGACGCCCAAGCAGCTACGAAGTTCATCAAAATATCTTCACAATTTGACGTGGAGTCCACGAGCGCTTTCGAGTCCCGCGGTGCCATCAACCAAAAAAGATCCAAGTAGTATTTGTGGAGGATAGCAGAACCGGTTAATATCATCGAATAATCATTTGTCCACTTGGAAGTGTAGCCCCAAGTGTTTCTGTCGTCGTCCCAAAAATGGGACCGCGCCGGGTAACCGACGATTCGGTCAGGAAATTCCTTCCAAACCTACAGAAAATGCACGTCGGTTCAACAAAAACAAGAGGAAAGTTAAATGACCTGTTGTCAACCCGACGAGAATTGTAATTTTTTTTTCGTTTTGCGTGCACTCAACAATTCTAAATGTAATCGACACCAAGTTCGACACCGTTTTTCCGTTCTTGGATTTATTTTCCTAAAAGCACCCCAAAAGTATTCGTTCACCAATTTTCTCTACTCACATTCGATGCTCAACGGAGAGATACGGATAAATACGAATACCTACACATTTTCAGAATGGATTTCTGGAAACATCATAAACAACATTACTGTAATCAAATATTCATGAGGATGATCGGGACTTTTTCAAGTTGGACAGAAAAACTTGGCTCAACCGTTAGAAAAAACTAAGGTTATCACGTAACAAATAATTTTGACAGAGATCACTCACTCCGTGTAATTATTAATCAAGTTTTCCGAACTCAGGCCTTGGATGAATATCGCCTCTGAAGAGTCTCACCTGATACGCAAAATCGAATTCCTCAGAATTCAACCCTGAATCATCGTCAATAAAGAACACAGCATCCGTCGCTTGGTCCAAATCGCGAACCAGACTCGCTGCATACACGTCTCCCTTTCGCCGCCTAGCGTCTTGAACTTCTTTGGTCAAATTGAACAACTCAGGCAACGGCAAGAACTTGGTGGACACGGCGCACTCTTGAGCTTCTTGAATAACGAAGAACACGGCGAACTTGACAGAGGCCTTGAGAGCCCGAACTAGGTGAGAACTGGGTAACGAGCAAAATATCAACACTGCCGAAGACACGAAGGACGATTTTCCGACCCGTTGCGACAGTAACTTCGGTAGATAACGCGTCACAGGGTGGGTTACTTCCAGGATAACAGTGAAATTTTGTCGCAACACATCCTCGGCATTCTTGAATCCTGAAACGTGTAAAATCCATTTTCATGAGGCGAGTTCAGTTATACTGACTGGAATGTTCATTCCGACGGTAATAATCGTCCGCATCCAGCATCATAACGAAACGAGCAGATTATTATTGTTTAAGCATCAATTTGCTACAGACGCATTAATTTGCTGAAGCTTCCCTTGCCTACAGCTTTTAAATATTTCCACTACTGAAAATGGGAACTCACAAAACGAATCCCATTTTACATCGAAGTACCCTAGCTCAACACTCGCCTGATCCAACACCTCATCAACAAATCCAACAATAAAACCGAAATCAACATGATTGATTTTAAACTCACCTCACTCAACTGGAAACTTACATAACCTAAACGCATTACACATTACAGCCAGTAGAAATTACTGTCGAATCTTTCGAAGACGAACTTCAAGGGGCCGGAAATAAAATTCCGAGTAGGGAGGTTCCGAGTAAAGGAAACAAGCATTTGTGTTGGAGGAAGGAAAGAAGAATCAAGGGAAATCGTAATTGATACTATTCTATGCCTTAAATTGATTCCGAACGGAGTTGATAGGATGCTAAACTAGGCAAAAGTTCCTTATCCAAATTAGTCGTTTCCTTCCTTTCAGAACGCATCAAGTTGCATTTTTATTGCTTGTCTCTTTCCTGTGTAAATAACATAATAGAAAATCGCCACCAGAGAATTTGAGTGAAGAAACTTAGAACCTTTGAGTTAGGGAGGGATACCTTTTTCCCACGGAAATTCATACAAGGACTTGAAAAAATATTGACGTAAGGAGATACAGTAATTGACTTTGAGAGGTTCGAGAAATAGATTCAACTGTAAAAACTAAAACAATCAAACAAAAAAGGATGAACTACAAAATAACTAAAAGCAGCTCCCTTGTCTCCTTGAGATATAACTGTCCAAACCGACGATTTAAAATAAACTCAATTACTCACCAATCATGGATTCCTTGTCCCAAGGCGTGCGTCTCCCACTTACTCGACCAACAACCAAACCTCCTGGAGGAGTATTCCAAACATACTTCGCTCTGACATTTCCTTTGGCTAAATAAACTCTGTCCTTGATAATCTCGATCGTCGTCGCAACAACGGTTTCAATCGACGAAAAATAAGTCTCCCACAGAAACCTGGCTTGTTGCTGGGCTTTGAACATGCGAACAGTGTCTTTGCTGATTTCCCGCATCTTTTCCGGCAACTGAAATACAGTAGTTCCAGAAAAAGTACAGTAAATCGAATATAATACGTCAGTATTATTTATTTCTTTAGCCATTTGCCGACAGGACCATGTCAAATGACGAGGAATCCGACTAGTTTTCCTCCGCTGATCGGAACTTCCTCATGAATTTAGTATTGACCACAAGGAATAGAACACCTAACTATGCAGGGCAAATTCTTCTCATCAGTCAGAAAGATAAGTTTTCCTAACTTAGCCGAACTTCAAAAACAGAGAAAACAGTTAGATTTCGAAACAACGCATATCTTCCGACATAATTTGTTTAAAAAAATAGCTGAATAAGTTGAGGTTCGCCTTATTTCCAATGGCGTCTCACATCAAGCATAAATTATACGGTTTAAACTTCAAAGTTAACAATGCTGGAAAAATGCGAGAAATTGATGAACGCATTTGTGATGGTAAAATAATTCTGTGTATAATCATCTATAGTCTACACTGTATCCCGGTGCTGTACTGTATATATATTTGTGCATATCGTATAAATAAAGTTTATTTTTTATTCGCGAAACCTTAAAAATTCCCTGCATAGGCCCAACCATTCCATTTGGATAATGGTGCAATGTTGCACCCACCTGAAAAAGAAGTCTCTCGTCAGCGACCAGAGCAGCCTGGTGCCAGTCGATGACCTCTTCAAACGGAAGAACCCATCCGTTGGACAGCACCACCGGTATGCAGCCGAATTTTAAAGCTTCCAGGAAACGGAACGAGCCTAAGCGTCTTCCCCGAGGAGCGAGGCACATAAGTGACTCCGACATCAACATTGCGTAGTCGAAGCGGTCATAATCCAATTGATCAGCGTCACAACGATCATCTTTCGTATCTTTCCAGCTTTTTCCGTGCTTACAGGTAGTGACGACGACGACATCTCGGCCGTTGTGTAGATGGAACAAGGCATTCCTGGTTTCACTCCCGATCCCATGAGTGTACCTTTTTCCCTTAAATTTGAAAATTTAAAAATAATAATAATAAAATTTACATTTAATTTGGCAATACAATGAAAACCAGCATTGGTTATTATACTTTTCCATTTCAGGAATAATGCCTTCAGAATCGAGTCCGAAACTAATAATTCTGAATCACGCATGCCACAAGATACATGCAACTAATGGCATGAAATTTAAGTACCTTAAACTAACCAGAACCGAGATTAACCTCGTACTCGGCTGATAGAACTTGAGCAGGTTTGAATGTCATGAAAATAAAGTTATTCAATAAACCGAGAACAATCGCATCGAGGCGATAAGAGTTACGCTGAAACGTGAGATCGGCACACCAGAAAAATGAAGTTATTGAAAGCGGTTTCACAATTTACGAGCTTTCAAAAATTAATCATATGAATTGGTGCTCAAATATATATATATATATATATATGTTATATATATATATGTTTTGGTTTTTATACCAAAACACCGGTATAAGCATCGAAGGTGTCATTGCTTTCTAGGCATAAACTGAATTTCTGGCGGCAAATACAAGGAGACTTCCCGCCTAAATTCTTGTACGAACCATAATTACACGCACAATTTTAACAATCGCTCACCTTGAAAGCAAGTAACCTGGTCTTCGTGGCTGAGGTGGGAGGCACTTTCCAAGTCCCGCGTTGCGGTAAATCCTTGTGAAAAAGCGGAAGTGAAACATCGAATCCGTGACGGTATGATTTGGAAGACGCAGAAGCTCGAGCTATCATGGCGAATCCGGGATCAAAGCCTAAATCATTTTCTCGATAATCCGGCCATGTCCCGGAGTACATAACAAAAAGCAAATGATTCAATCCGTTGTTCCACAGCTGTGACTTTCTCAACTTTGGTCCGGCATTCCGCACATAGTCGGTACTCAATATGTCCCTTAATAAAATCAAGAATGGTTTCGTTCACGAGAGAGAACATATTCACGGATCCTCTAAAACTCACCGATCCAACGTGTCGACGGCAGAGATCAGAATACAAGCTTCGTTGGGATCATCGGTGGAATACGGTGAGGCTCTCAACAGCTTTAAGATTATTTTAAAAATATCACTTGTTTCAGCTTCCTGAATGTCACCATAAACGTGAATTTTGAAATCCTTCGGTTCCGATCCGCAGCGCGAGTAATTGAAGTAGGAGGAAGATTCGGGGAAACCAGATCCACCCCACGGTTTCGCAAATGACGACCACGTCTCGTCATTGGACACATACGAAGGAAGTGACAGGGAAGGTGGGGTCCATGGCAAGGCTTCAGGATTCTTGCAATTCCGAACCTTCCGTCCGCCGAAATGGCAAAATGCAAGGAAGGCCACGCAACAGAACACTAGAAAATATCTTTTCTTAGCTTGCATCCTCTTGTTCAATGTCAAGAAGCGTTGGACGACGTGCCACGCGCACCATTACGGCTGAAAGGAATGACTTCAAGATCGCAAAAGCGATCCGCGGCACTCCAGGTATACATTAACGTTTCCATCTGAAATTAAACAACTGTTGCATGAATAAATGTATCAGCTTTACAGTACTTGTCATACGATAATCGACGGACATAATAACCAATCGAAAATGAGGTTCAGCCAATCTTATTCTTTCTTTTGTTCGAATTCCCGAAAGGGATCACACAGCTGAAGAATTGCCCGTGTACAAGTGCCGAATTACGCACCAATGGTACATCGGTGCAAAATTCCCTTCACAAAAACTGATGTACACAATCAAGCAAACGCGCAAGAAGCCAGCGAGAACACGGCATCCGCATAAGTCTATGACGGACTTTTAAATACACCACGTTACATCCTCGATAATCCCAACTCCGTTACACGGGCATAACTGAAAAGGCAAACACAGCCGAACAGCTTGAACGTGTCCAGAAGGCTCCACCTCAACAAAAATCTGAAGATGGCGAAGAAAGATATTCAGTTTATTCTCCTAGATGACGCAGTTATATGGTGTAATCAAATTTTTTATTTGTTCTCGCGTACATACAATCTATGGAGTTATCCTTTTCAATTATGGAAACACTGAGAGTACAAGAAAAAAAGACGCATGCGATTTGCCTGAAGATAAATAAATTAACATGGTCTGTTTTACCAATTCTCTCATTCCAACAAATAAAAACACGGTTAATTTTTACGTGTTCACTTGTACGAGTAAATTTATGTAATGCTGTACATTATACTGTACATAATTTAATAAGATATACTATTTAATGGAAAATATATATTTGATAAAATCTAAAATTCTAAAAATGCAATCAAATTCACAAAAAGAAATAAAAAGAGAAACATCCTGCCTATTCGTAGAATACGCCCACAGCCAACTGAAAAAAGTGTTGACGACATGAATAGAACTGGGAAAATTCGCCCAGGAATTATAGCAAAACTTATTTATTTTCAATTCTCGTCGAACTTCGGATCATCAAATTTCACGGAAGTAAAAAACACATTCGAAGTATTAGCGAATATTTCATCACAAAAAAGGTCTTGATCAGCAGACTTCACAGCAGCAACGATTTCAGCCACTTGCCTGAAAAATATGGTAGATGCATTACCGAAGAGACAAGAGAGTGTACAAAATTTCCAAAAACGCACTTGATATTGCAGGGCTCATTCCTTCCATCCACTTGGAGACCAAGTTCAAATTTTTCTTTCTTCTTCATTTTTATCAGGGTAGTTAGGTGCTTGTAGCCAGCATGCGTTTTCCTTATGCCACACCAAGGGGCGTCTGTCTCAAGCATCAGACGGCTCACCGGAATTTCTTTCACAACTGCCAGGTTTTCCTCTGTTTTCAGAGAACTGCAGATTGAAAAAAAAAATTCTTAGATAACAGTTGACTAAAATCATTGAATGAAAAAAATCGCAGGATCTCGAGAAACTGGGCAAAAAATAACGTTCACGCATTTCGAAAAAAAAAAATTTAATGCACAGGGACATTCATTGGACTCAGGGGATCACACAAAAGCTAGTTGGACAAGTGTTGAAAATAAATTGCTGATACAGAACATTCATAGAAAAATGCATCACCCACGAAGACGGGAATAATTTATCGTACCCCTCGTTTCCCCGTGCTATGTATTCCTATATACGGTAAAATATAGTTATTTAGCAATAATTCGGAGAAGAAGACAAACAGCACGAACCATCCATTGATACCAATATGCAGTCCCAATTTCATGATTTCAGGAACATCCTCCGAGGATCCGTCGAAGGAATGAACAACTCCGGCCGTAAATGAATTCCGCTTCCGCTCCAGAATTTCACACAAATCTCTCCTCGCGGCTCGACAGTGAAGAAACAAAGGAAGCTTCGTTTTCTCAGCCAACACCAATTGTTGCTCAAAATACCTAGAAATCCACATACATTATCAAAACTGCAAAGGTACCTGGGATATCAGACGACTCGCTTAACGACCCGAACTAACGAGGATATTCGACCGCGAAAGGATATGGTTTCCTCTACGAGCGAAATTTGATTTGCTGCGTGAGAACTTCCCGAAGTAGTATACTAGAGTATAAAGTCCATCAACTGAGGCACCGCAAATATACCATATAGCGTACAATCAAGCACCACACTTTTCTCTTCAAATTTAAGCAAAAAAGTGGGGTGTGCATCTCACTCAATTCTATTAAATTTTGTCTGCTAAGTTTTGGTGCACGTCATGAATGAAAAGAAATGCAGAGAGGTTGAAACAATAATTGTTGTAGAGACTAGGATGTATAAAAATATACATTTCGGCTCAAGATCAGACTAAATTTCAAACTTCAGCGTTTACTTCTTAGAATACTGTAAATTAATTTCGTATCGAAAACCAGGCGACCCATCCGACGCGGGATTGATTTTTCACGAACACGGTGCCTAAAAAATTAAGGTGCGTTACAGCATATACCGAGATGTGTTCTCACTTTTTTTGAACTTCAATAGGACAGAACTGAGTGCGGTCGAAATCGAGACCAATTTCTCCCACCGCTACAACCTTGTCGCGGTTTTCAATGATCAACTTCAGAAGACTTTCCATGTAAGCCTCGGGGTCGCCTGAAGCGTCAAATTCTCCGCATCTGGTGGGATGGCAACCAACGGTTGCAAATAATCGCTCTGGAAACCGATGCAAAAAAGAAGCGAGTTGAAATTCCTGAACGACCTCCATTTCCATCAAGTTGCCCCAGTAATATACCTGTATTATTCAAGTACTACGTGTGCCAGTTTTTTTTTTTCATTTAAATAAATAGGAAAAAAAGGTAGCTCTATACAGCTTTAGTGAAAGTAAAACTGAAGCTTTTCAAGAATGAAAATTATGGAACGTTCAATTTAATAAAAATTCAGGCAACAATTTAAATTGGGATGTATTTTATTTTCAAAATATTTCAACTTACAGTATCAAAAAATGGGGTGCGCATCCAAGTTGTGGATACATTTTTATCAAAATTTTGGAATGAAAAATTCAGATGCGCGTTGCACGTGGAACTCCAGTAAATAAAGTACAGTAGTTACTGGGCATGCATATAATTACAGTACCAGTACCCTTATTTTAAAAATTTGGTATCAAATTCATAAATATGTGTTGAGAAACGTCAGAACAGTGAGCGGATGATGTCTCACCTTCAATAACATAAGCATAGCAAAAAGTTCCGAAATTCCGAAGAAACACTTGACCTTTCAGATGAATAGCAGAAGATTTACTAACCCGCAATCTTCAAAGAGACCAAGCTTTCACATAGAGAAAAAACCATGTACTGTATATAAACGGTAAACAATCTTTTTCCCCCTAACAAAAAGGATTTTCCATAGATCTCACCATCGATCTTCGACAACTCAATGGCTGCTTCACTATCCGTTAAAGAGCCACCGGTGATGATCATTTTCTCAACACCTGCTTCCCAGCTTCTTTCAAGGACCTGCTGAAAATCGCTCACGTGCTTCTCCTTTCCGCCATAAATACCATTGAACATTGAATCCGTGAGATTAACTCCTATGTCTAAAAAAAAAGTTCAATTTCACGATCCACATTTCTAAATCAACGCTTTTCCTACCGATGAATCTCATCAGCCTAGACGTCATCTCGAAGTCCGCAAGTTGATCTGTAACGACGTTCACGAAAAAATGGATAGGAAGAAATCACCGGGTTGAGAATGTGGAAAAATAAATGCACAACGTAAGTCTCCATGAAATAAAACAACTTATTCACGTGACCCGAACGAAGTGAAGGAACAAATATCACATCGCGAAAAGAAACCGGGAACTTAAAAACTAATTTCCCTAATCAAACAAAATAAAATCAAAGTTCTTCCTTCACGTATTTGGGCTTTAGGGCTTCTATCCGCTTGATGTATTCCGCCTTCTCGATGCAACCATCGCAATCCTCGCCCCAATCGTTGAGGATTTTACGGAGATCGCGCACCTTGAGCTTCTTCAGATCGACGGTTTTAAAATCGATCTGCTTGTCAAACCGCAACTCGCAGATTTGAGCGTCCTTTTTCTTCAGCTTTTCACATAATTTCTCGGTCGGAAGTGAATACGACAACGGCTTCGAGACTTCTGTTAGAATACCGGTAGCTGACTCTTCCAATCCTCCCAAGTAGTAACACTGCACGAGGAAAACGGGAAAATTATATTGAAAACGAACACAGGTTGTAACTTTTAATGGCTCTAGAAATGCATTCTCCCTATCCACACGAGAAGGCATTAGGACACACATAATTAGATCAATCGCTGAAATAGATACACTCAATGTCTCATCTGGAAACTCTCTTCAAAATGCTCAGGTATTTGTTCATGGTCCCGCAAGGAGATTGAAACCAACATTTTTCGGAGTAAGAAACCTTTTCATACTCCGAAAGATTTTTTTTCGAAACCAGCATTGGTTAAATATTCATCATTTACGGGGCATATTAGATGAAAAATCAATTTTTGGACGAAATTCAAAGATATGCACCCAAAATTACATCAGTGTTGGTATAGTGAGCGGAAATTTTGAAGTTCAATACAGTACAGGTGATGGAAACCGATCATTTCGTCTTTCATTTTCTAGTTTTTTTAGTCATCTGCAATGGCCAAAAGTTGTTCGAAATCGTCAATCAGTTAATTAAGCTGTTCGTAAAACCTACACTGCTTCCGAAATTTTTGGATAATAAAAATCCATAACACAGGTCTAATTCAGGGAAATCGTTGCCGAAGTTAACTCTTCAAATATTATATTTTTCAGAGATAGTATGAGTGGATCTGTAATAACTAAATGCCTAATCTTCACATAACAACAATAAGAACCAAAAGTGCATGAACTGGGTTACGTTTCTCAGGTCAAGATAGGGTGGACTATGAATAACACACAGATTTCGTTCCAACTTACAAAGCGATTTTCTTTTCCTTTTTTGTCTTCGCAGTAGTCGACGAATTTCTTCTCTATGACTTTTGTATTCTTCAATTCATCATCTGATAAAGTAGCCCGGAAGTCGTCGATAACTTTGAAGCATACTGCAACAAGAAAGCGATATATGAAACACCTGAATTTTTTACAAAATGCAAAAAATACTTTTACCTTCACAATCGCTAGCCTTCAATCCAGCCACAATAGCTGGTAACACGAGAGACACGATCAGTGCAGATGAATGGGTAATCATCATGTATGTCGGGAGATCGAGAATTTTCCCGCTAACCAAGCGTTCCTGGTAATATTAGAACAGAGGTAATGAAATCCACCTGTTAGAACCACTAGCACGAGACTGAGCAACGAATCAATGCGCTGCACAACGGTCATCCACGAATACATGCAAGTACACGTCATCGTAGCCTCACTCCTAAGGTGACGTAGCCATGATTTGAAACGAGTCTGATTTCGTCCAGAATGATTTAACTAAAACGTTTAGGACTCGAAGTCCATGAAAAATAAATGGAAAAGATTGAGTAGCTGAGAAATGTCAAGTCGTGCACTATTTGTCGCGTTACATCCGCTGAAGTTTGCCGGCTCTTTTGATCCACGGATTGTAGAATACAATATCAGGAGACGACCAATATCCCTCTTGATGAATATTCTAGAGGAATAATTGAATCAGAATTCCCTAGAAAATCGTACGGGATAACATACCAGACGGATATCGACGAAGTACAATTATAGTCTGATCCAAAACGGATGTTTAAAATCAGGATCAAATATTAATAAGGAATGAAAAATTGCATAATGGTCGCCTCCTCCAAGAGAGAAAATTCTTCACTTTCCAGGCACTTCAACATCGCTTGATACAATCGTGAAACCCGATAGAACTTCTACGCGGCATTCTAAGGAAATCGACACTATTCGTCCGACACTGCTGACGACTTGAACGCAATGAGAACGAACGGTGCCACCTGTGCACGTTTTGCGTTACGAGAGTCAAAGAGCCTGAATTCACCTTCTAGAACACAGCACGAAAGCTCATGCAAAGCACATGCCTTGAACTTCGGGGGTATTTGTCATGGCAATACAGCAAATACTATTACTGTAGACTGATTAACTGTTCACATTGACTAAATTCACATCTAAATATTTCAAGCATGAGAGAACATAAGAACAGCTTCATGAGGAAATCCCGGCTCTTGGTGAATTGAAACTCCGAAATAAATACCTGTGTGGAACTTGGTGACTTAATAGGTGACTTCGGTGCTTCCTTAATTCCTTACGGAGGACTTTTTCTTGTCCTGGCAATGGAACCGCTAGCGTCATTTTCAGGCATATCTTTCTTTTCTCAGAAACGAAAATGAAAAAGCACCGCTTAAAGCATACACATATAAATTCATTTCCCACTCATAAATAACGAAGTCACAATTTCCGGAAAGCAATGATTCAAATTCCCAAGGAATGCCTGGAACTTTGGTAACCGATTGTTTTGAGGTACCACGCAACACCACCAGCGATAATCACCCCGAAAAACGCAGCCCTCGCTATCGGGGGCCACTCAGCAGGGTGAAACTTGGTGCCTTGGAAAGGTAGCACGCACCACACTGCCTCCCACAGACCTGGTGTCTGCCATGCAACTCCATCCAACTGCATGTCTCTAGAAAATTATCAAAATATGGACTTTCACAGAAAAGTTCCACACAGGTATTTATTTCGGAGTTTCAATTCATAGGAAATGCTTCACATTTTTTGAAGTACAGTAATTAACCCGTGAAATTTCAAAGCGTAGGAAAGGCATTAAACTTTTAATACTGCGATATTAAAAACATTCCTGCAGAGTCTCAATTCACATAGAACATCTGCAAGGACCACAACAAAATAAGCACTATTCCTGTGTACTACATTCCACAAATATTAATGCGACAACAACAACAAAAGCATTATATTGACTTACGCCCTCCTCCTGTACGTTTCAGCGCCTTTCATCACAGTTTGAAAGGAATGATTCCCCATGACACGCCATCCTTTCTCAAGAATCGAATCCCAATCCACAGACTGCGGCAGCGGGGATAAAGCAGCGTGTTGCGAAGAAAGCTCGCATTCAGTGCTCAGTATCTTCGCGGCATTCTCCAAGATCACCGTGGCTGACACAGCGAGAGGATAATAAACGGCCTCTTCTTCAGTCGAAACGTCGATGCTCAGAAAGGCGTCGAAAACACGGACAACGAGCTCGTAGTCGTCGAGGCAATGACTGAACCACGTCAATACCCAGGGTAAGCTGGAATATTAATTAAAAGATTGGGCAACAAAGAATCTCTGGATTTCATTCTTTTTCTGTTGCTCTTAGAAATGGGGTCCCGGAATTAGGACGATTACTTACTAGGAACTAGATAATTATTCTGACCCAACATCTGGACAAAGCCTTGAGGTATGGACACTGAAAAATTCACAGAGAACTATAAATTTACATGGACTCTCTCTAAAGCGATCTTGTATATACGACGATTTTCTCTGTGTAACCAATTTTGTTTTGTCCCACAGGGTTCTCTCCCAATATCACAGGGATTCTCTACAATGAAATTCTCTCCACGACAAATTTTCCCTCTGATCCCTTGAATTTCGTTGAGTCTACCTGTTTTTCATTTTCAAAAATTTTATTGCTCTTGAACAAATTGAGCGATTTCATGAAGCATAAATGAAAATGCACAATATTTCTAATTATAAATTTACTCTAATTCATCATCCAGAACTAGGTAATTTTTGCTTCTGTTTTCAGGGTTTTCTTACATCAACTGTGTATATAGTGAAGAAAGATATATGCTCATATTTTACTCCTTCTCACGCCCTAAAGGCGGATTCTTTGTCGTTTTCTTCTGCAAACTTTTTGTCTGCACCTTGCAATAAATAATTGATAACAATCATTTATATTTCAGTTTTTGAAAACTTTTTCATTTTTTTTTGCAAAAGAGAAGATATTCAAAACTTTCCCATTGAAGTCCAAGGGAAAACGTGCAAAGACACACAGACAAGGTCCAAGAATCAAATTTAGCGCGGAATAAATAAAAATTCTCGCGATTTGAAACGCATTAGAGGTACCTGAAAGTAGTTCCGACATTTGACCGCAGAAGATGCATGTACAACTGTCGATTTTCTCGCTCTATCACAGCCAAGATGCAACCAAGTAACGAAGCAGTTTCCAACATGGTTGGTTTCATAAATACTCTCAAATGCTTCAACATCAATGCTTCAATAACAACATAAGCATTCTCTGGGTCCCGCATCACCAGAAGCACCGTCAACGCCATGTCGTGGAAACCCTAAAAAATCATTGGAAATGTTTAAAAACGATAGAACATTGCTCGTAAAGGTACAGAACAGGCACTTCCGGGTGACGCGAGGAAGTAATGATGAAGTATAACCAAGGAGATACTGTACATAATTTTCACTACTGCCTTAGGAATCAATAAGCTACAAATCATTGAAATTTACAACTATACCATTCGAACTCACTTGATAATAATGTCTTTCCGGATGAGCTTTCAGAAGTTTACACATGAGCGACACCAGGACCTTCTGTAAATCCCCGCGAGTGACATCATCGATTCCAGGAGGAAATCTCTTCAGAGTTCTCCGAACATCCATTTCAACTTGATATGCCCAAGTACCAGACGCTGCTTCTGGTCCATGATCCGTTAGCACACCGTCCCGAATTCTCCGCTTACATTTTTTGTGAACTCCCAAAAACAATGGCCAAGCTTCCCGCCGGAAATCATCTTTGATAAAAATTAATTACTTCTCAACAAGGGCGTAAAAACTGAGCGACGTCGCAAAGGCATAAAAATTCAGGTACAGTGATGTGTGGCAAAAACAGGTAGATAAATTATCGTGAACAACATTGCAAGAACCACTTGAATGTGTTAAAAGAACACGCGATTACGATCATAATTTTTTTAATTCAACAGTTGAAAAAATTTTTTCACCTTCGGAATTGAAATCATCGTGAAGGGAGAACGTTCTCAAGTATTTCGGCGCAAGCGAACGAGGAGTACGGACTTGAGAACTTTAAAAATTAATAACATATTTCATGCATGATACTGTACTCCAGTTTTTCCTGCAAAGATCTTGATAAAAATGTCAAAGACATCTACGGGCAAAACATCTGCCACCACAAGCGGAAGTACGATTACACAGTAAAATTAGTACTGTACCACGAATTGTATCCGATACCGTGCGTGGAGGAGCGAAATGACTAAACTTCTTTCTGTACACAAAATTCGCATAAATACGGTACTTAATTACACAAACTCACCTTTGAGAAGCCCACCAGGACCGATTGCAAGCGTTCGCAGTTTCTCCAATAGAGGTTCCGATACATCAATACGCAAAGTATCCAATACAGTTCGTATTCGTTCATCTTTGCCACGCATGACTCACAAAAATGATCTCACATAAACTCCCTGGCTTGAAAAAGAGAAAAATCTTTGAGACAAAAAATAAATAAGAAATTCCATCAGAAAAATCAGGCATCATCACGAACATGAAGACACAGTTCTTAGGCTCAACTTGAATTGATGATGGTTATCTCACACCACAATACACCAATTGGCACTTCGAGGAATCCAGAATTAATCACATCAAACAGAAAATTTAGTGAATTCAACACCTTTGAAATGTATAAACCCCTATATTTTATTTTTACAAAAAGGTCCTTCTCTTACGAATGTACAATACGTGAATTACCGCAATGGAGTATTATCCACGCAAAAATGAACTGAACCCAATTGTACCGTAAAAAAAAACCAATTTCTTCTTCTTCTGCAATAATAGATCACTGTGTGCTACCTGATTTCTCCATTCCTCTACAAGCACATCGAAAAGTTCGTCTCAGGCAGAACACAAACGCTAGAACACATTCTCGTCAACCATGATTGCTCTTCGCAGAAAAAATAAAAAGAAGGAATAAACAATTGACGAGTAAACTGCGAGAAAACCTTCGTAAGAGGACCCACAAATCGCTTCAAATCACAGCACTGATAACCATTCTCACTTCAACCGTTCTGAGGCACTCTTCTGAACGAGTCGTCTCTTACACACAACATTCCGAATTATCATCAAAGGATCAGCACGATGTTTCTTCTTCTTTCGAATCGTCGCACAAACCAACTCGGGTCCGACTTGTTTTGAGTTTGTTGACCCATTGCCGAACGTCGGCGAATGCACCGGTTTCATGAATAGTACTTGGCAGTCAGGCGTTCGAAAGAATCCTTGATGGCTTTCCTAATATAAAGCGAAACACGAACACAATGAAATAATGTGGACTATTACATCACAATACCGCACCATGAAAATAGAGCGATTCACGCGCCACTACACCCCCTCCATTAAAAAACACGAATATTTCTACTTGAACATCCGTTAGTAGCTAAGAACGTATCTATACAGGCAGACTCTCTCCACAACGATTTTCTCTGTAAAACGATTTTTTAATGGTCCAATAGGGTTCTATCCCCATGTTATACGGGTTCTCTACAACAAAAGTCTCTCCAAAAATAATTTTTCTGGTTTCTCGTGTTCGAAAGATTCCACGTGTAAGATATAGAAATTGTTGTCAAAGAAACAGTGTGAAAAAAAGGCAGAAAAATTCCGGCATCATCCGACGATCAAGTGTCTAGTCCCTGGGAAATTTAAGACCTCTTCTGGAAAATTCCACTGCTATTCATTCGCTACAATCCCAACAGTTGAATAAATGGACGAGAATCGCTGATCACCTTACGCGAGAACATCTTTCTGATCATCATTTCCTTATTTTTTATTAAAAATGAAAATAACTGTAATTTGTTCATACTTTCAAAATTTTAGATCAGAGAAGCCGAATATGTTTGTTCCCTTACTTCCCAAAAAACTTACAGGTGTTCAGTAGTTGTCCGGATGATCATAGGATTTTATTATATTCGCTCGCACTGACCGGTTCAATTTGACAAGCATGTGATAATCACATCTTTATAGATCCCCAAAACTATTTGGGATTCAAAAAACAATCAATATTATAATATCCAAATTAGCTCCGGTAGGAAGACATTTTCAATAGGATTTCATGAAAAATCTCAGTTAACGACAGAACTGGTATTTTGCAAAATTTCTATTACACTTTCTTACACATACAAAACCATGCGATGAAATCGACATTTTCGAGAATTGCTACTAGAATTAATTTTTATATCGAATTCATACTTTATAACGTTCACTCAAAATCGTGGAATACTCACCGGAAAACGCCTTGATTGAAAATGAAAGCAGCAACGTGCCCCATGTCAACGGAGCGAATTTCGGCCGACGGCCAAAGCTCGTTCAACTCTGGTAACCCGTCTCCTCGAGGTACGTAACCATCACACTTTGCAGCAACCACAATGACCAGCTCGGGATCCACAGGCACGGAAAAGTTGCCCAAATACGTGCATTCGTCCATGATCCCGCGCATGAACTGCAATGCCTCCACACGCAACCCCGAGTCCTGGGCTTTACCGGATGCTGACCCGAACCTAAAAAACAATGACAATCTGATGATCGACAATCATAAATCCAGAATTCCATTTCAAAAGCAGAACGAGTTTCGACGAAACAAACAAAATTCATCGCATATTCAACGTGAAGCCAAATCAAAGCCGCAATAGAGCAGGCAAAAAATTGGTGTGCTGCAGCAGTATTCTCGACATTTATATAAATCTCCTCAGCTTACAGATTTTTTTTAAAACAAATTAAATGCAACAACTGCTTTTTCCTGAAAACTGATGTTAAATCAAAGATATAAATTGCCGCATCAGCAGTTTTGCACATGATGACCACTTCTTACAATCTCTCAATATTTTTGTCGAACGTTCCAGGAGTTATGTTGGATCCTTACATACACGGATCCATTTTACCATGTTTTTACCATGTTTTTATGAACTCACTTTCTTGTCTGTCTGTTTGT